CGATGCCAGGAGCCCCTAGTAGCGTCCTTGCTCCTAGTAGCGATGCATTTGTTCCTAGTAGCGAACCTTGCTCCTAGTAGTAAGGCACTTGTAACTAGAAGCGATGCACTTGTTACTAGTAGCGTTAAAAACAAAAACAAAAACGTCCTTCCCAGTCATTACTGTACATCGTCTCCGGGGTTCTTATCAAATGCTTGCAGTTGAAGTCCAACTGCTACAAATTCCTGACTCTGTGTCTGTGGACTCTTGAAACAAGCTTGGATCTCCTCTTTCGCTGCCTGTGCTCTTGTTCCAATCGCGTCAGAGACCTTCGAAAATCTTCTGGAACCCAGTCTTGGCCTCAGATCATGTATATAAATGGCAAGACTTCCAGGCTCACGAGAAGAAACGTTCGTGGATCCGTATTCTCAAGGGCCATGCCGCATGCCTACAGTCAATGCCCTTAACAAAAAATGGGATCTCGTAGGGGTTGTTGCTCACAAACGCGTGGGTATCCATCCGAGCTGGAGATAACAACCTATGGGAGGTTGTTGCCAGCTTTGGGACTGAAAAGGGGCCTTGGATGGTCTTTCATGTCACACTATGTGTGGCCTCTTATCCTTTCCTACGTCCTACTCCCGACCAACTTCTATGATGTTGCATCGCCTTGCGCTCCGATGTCTAGAAAATTTAAGAAACGGTCGAAACGGTGTTCAACAAACGGTGTGTTGGTCAAAAGAACTGGCTCAGCACGAAATGAATCTCTTTCTTCAAGGCGAAGAATATTCGCAAAAGGCTGCAACTGCAAGCTTACATAGCCAAAAGAAACACCGAACCTGAACATGAAATAAATACCTCGTCTTCAAACGATTTAATTATACATTGAATCGAATCAAACATCTTTCCCCGCAAACTCGGCTTCTGGCTCTACGAAATGTTGTATCCCAACTCCTGTCCATCGCGTGTTGTAGGTTTTTTGAAAGCTTCCGCAAGGTTTTCCAATGCAAACAAGTGCGTGGTGTACTTTGTTGATTTGGGGCAAGAATTGAAATCTTTGTGCCATTCACAATTCAACTGGAAAGTGAAGTGCGAAGGGTTGAGTGCCTGAGACTCAACATGGCACAATATTGGAGCTGCAGGTTCGATCGAAGAATTTATGGATCCTTGTCTTGGGGATGTCCCAGCTTCTCTCCCACCAGCATGCACAAATAAATGTCTCTTCGTGAAGAATAAAAGCACTTTGAGGAGAGTAACAAGTGCATCGCTACTAGTAACAAGGCACCTTACTACTAGTAACAAGAAGCTACTAGTAACAAGGTGCATCGCTACTAGTAGCAAGGACGCTACTAGTGACTAGTCTTTGAAGCCAGGGATTGATTTGCAGATTTGGGAATTTGCAGCGCGACAGGAGGGATCAGTCAAGCAGCGCAGGACACAGAACAAAGCCGATGGGAAAGAGACGTTTCCACTCGGACTCGGCTCGGATAGGCCGGTGTTGGACTCCTAACAAGTGCAACGAAGTGTGGGTGGCCCAGCCGCATCAGATGTCAGTTGTGACCATACACAGCCATTCTGAAATTGGCCTCTTAACAGCACTTATATAAAACAAACTTGGTTTACCAAGTTGGAGACTGGACACTGGACACCCTCAAGCCATATTGATGTTGCTCACCAGCGGGCTCAAGGCACCAACTTCCAACGAGTATCCAAGAGAAAACCCCCCACCTGGCCTTGGACAACAGCCATGAAGCTTTATTAGCAGTTGTTTGGCTGGCCAGTTGCCTTCTCAAGGGGGCCGGGCTACAGTTCAACCACTGGTTTGAACAAGCTCAGAAAAATGTTAAGAAGAAAAACAACACGATCGCAATATGATAATGTGAACGCTGGAACACGTGCGGTGAGGAACACTTAATCTGCCCATGCCTTTGGAAGGCTTGACATGTTTCAGCTGATCCCTCTGCTCTGAACAAGTCCTGCACGTCGATGGCTAAAGCTCCGTGCTGAAAATGCAGATCTGGTCGATCGCCATGGGATCTTCACCCGAAACATTTCCACCAAATGGAATCTAGGAACGGGGCAGTTGAACCAACGGCTGCACAACGGCATCCTGTGACTATCTGCGCATCAGCCAAAAAGGTTTTTTGTTTAATCAAATCCTGGATAATCCCGCTAACAGGGTTCACGAGCCAAGGCTTTAGCCTTGGGGCTTTGAGTCCTCCTGTGACAAAAATAAGATCCTTGGATTCAAACTTGCAGGCCTAAATGTTTGATTCAGCAGCAGGTTCTCTCCACGGGCACAAACCGCTTGTAGGTCAAGATCTTGCATGGGTTCGTAGTATGAAGGGCGCAAAAAAGATCTTTAAAGTGGCGAACTCCCTGACAGGGACCCATTCAATGTTAATCCGGAAAGCATGAAAGTACAATAGGCCTAGGTGTTGGCTGGTCTTTCTATGATATCACTTCTCTTGTGCCTGGCCATTGTCAGGATCGAAACTCGGAAGGGCCTGGCAACCAAATGTTGAGCGTCAGAAACTGACTAGTCTAGTCGACCAACATGACGCTGTCGCATTGGTTCTCATATGATATACAAATCATAGAGAGAGAGAGAGACACACAGTATGCTCAGTATGTAGATAAACCTTTGATTTCCAAGAACCAAGTAAGCATCCTAGTCCTGTGGTCATGTATCTTGCCATATATGGAGGAACACCTGCTGATGACAGTAGCTAGCTGTATGTCGGGGAGCCGGGAGCTGACCGATGCATTTCAAGAGCCTTCCCTAGAAGTTAAACGGTCTGCGTCAGCCTACAGAACACCTAAGGTCAAAAAAAGAATTGCGCAAGCTGAAATACCATCCACGAGCCACGGTCCAACTACATGATGTTAAAGAACAGTCGTGTGCAAAAGCAACGATCAAGTCTCAGCTCAGGGTTGCCTTCACAGCCAAGTGTCTCACTGCTCCCAGCCTTTCGTGCAGGGTTTTCTCTTGGCAAGCGTTACATCACGTTGGCGGGGTCAATTATCTTCATAACATATGTCAGAATCATTACAAGGTGCTGTCCATGCTGATGCTACGGCATGAAGCTTCAATTACACTCGGAATGTGTCCGGCTGTGAATAGCGAATCCAAGCCTCAACAGCTTGCCAAACCTTCCAACATGCCCTGCCAGCTTGTCTGGGTGGCCGTGCAAAAGGATTCGCTGAGGGTCCGAGAGCAAGTTGGGTATGTTGAGTGGATTCCTCTCAAAAGTCTCCCGTTGTGCTGTACTGCAGTGTAAGTGTCTGAGTCTGCTAGCAGAACGTTCCTCCAACAGCTAGAGCAAAAAGAGAATAGGCCAATCAGCGGAACGTATCATGTACCGCCAAACAAGCATCCTTCAGAGCAGAGGAAGAAGCAGAAGAATAATAAGAAGAAGAAACGGAAGTATATACTATGCCAACCTCTTGATTGAAAAGTCCTTCTACACATGCTTGCTTTGGCTGCCTTGACTTCGTAAAGTGCTGTGAGCGGCTTGTAGGAATTAAACTGCACGAGTGGGTTATTGAACCCTCCGCCCCGATCTCGCCTCGCCTTTTGGGCCTGCATGAGCTAGTGTATTGGACATCTTTACAAGTTCCACATCCCCCGACTCTGAACGTCAGGGACGTGAAGAGCAGTAGCGGAGTCTGGCCAGGGAATTCTCTCAACCTGTAACCAACAACGCTTTCTGCTTTGCATTTCGACATTCAAATCTCACAAAATTCATTCGTTTCAAATGCTTGTCAATCATCTGCCGACTCAAAATCTTTGTCATCAAATCTGCATTGTTCTTCGTTCCGTCCACTTTCTCTATGGTCAGCACCCCATCTCTTGTATGCTGCTGCAACCACAAAAATCTTGCCTGCACATGCTTTGTTTTACCAACACCCACACGGCATGCTATTGCACGAGCTGCCGTTGAATCGCACTTCATTGTCAATCCACATGGAATGCTCCATTCCTCCAACAAGTGTTTCAAAAACAAACAGGAAATCGCACCTTTGCAAATCCCATAATATTCAGCCTCTGCCGAACTCAAGGAAACAACGCTCTGCAAATTGCTCTTGGTCAACAAAAGATGTTGCCCTGCCATCACTGCAACACCTGTGGTAGAACGTCTTGTTTCCAAATCACACGCCCAATCACTGTCTGTGAATCCAATCAACTGGTATTGTTTCATGTATTGCATTCTGAAAATTCGTTTCCCGTAGGGATGTTTCACCAGATATCTTCCAAGCTTCTTCAATTTCTCAAAATGAAACACCTTTGGTTGCGACATCCCACGGGCCAAATTCTTTGCTGTATTGGCCAAGTCTGGCCTGTCCTGCGAGAGATAGGCCGTTCTCATGGTCAACGACCTAAACAACTTTGTGTCCTCAGCATTCAATGACTGTTTCTTCAGATGCTCAAAGTCAACCTCATTGACTTTCACTTCCGGGACATCAGATCCCTTCGATCCATGTAGGTTGAGCTGCTTCACAATCAACTCAGAGTGCCTGGCATCTGCCTCGACTTCTAACTGAAACTCACCGTTCTCTCTTTTCGTCAGCTGCACCAACCGATTCAAGAAAAACATCTGCTTGTCATCTGTTGTGTTCAACCCTAATGTTGCTTCCCAACGAACCTTGTACTTTGAACGCAACACACTGTCCATGAATTGTAAATCAACATCATTGGCAAGAACCAAAAAATCATCACCGTGCACCATGCCCCACATGTTTCGTGTCTTGTGTTTGAATGTAGCTGGACATAGTTTTCCAATCTCAAAATCATGATTTGCCAACACTTGATTCCAATCTTTCTGAAAGATCCGTGAAGCATCTTGGGTGCCATACATGCTTCGATTCAACTTGCCACACATTGGTTCTGTATCTGTGTCTTGATGCAAATCTTCAGGCGGCAAACTAATGAACAAATCACGCTCAACTGTTCCCATGAAATGCGCCCGACTCACATCCCAAGAACCAAGCCTCAGATCTCTTGCACGACCTTTGTGCTGTGTCATCAGCATTGAACAAATCAAATAAAAAATTTCAACTGGCGGAGTGGCTGCAAACAACTCAACTTCCGAAAGCTGTTCACCAGGTGCCTTCTTCTTCTTAATCTCTCTTGCCACCCACCTTGAACGATACAGGGGCCTCTGGTCATCGCCCTTGTTGATGTCAACCCATTTTGTTGAAATTGGCTCACGTCCTGTCACTGCCAAGCATTGCGACAAGGGAACGCGATCATAAATCTTCTCGTCCTTGACCCATTTCAGCTCCTCTGCTCGAGCCTTCTGCACCATCTGCGGATCAAGGAGAACACCAGCAGCTGCATCAATGAACTCTTCTTCCTGCTGAGCAAACTCCTCTTCATTCCAAAGCTCTTCATGCGGCGATGGACCCGCATGCAACGACTCAAAAGAAGACAATGACCTGTCCGACAACGACTGTTCACGTAGCCCTTGCAACACTGCACGCACAAGTCGATCTGGGTAGACCTGTGCCTGTTTAGCAACACCTCCAATGAGCCTCACATGCCTATGTAAACACGGAGTGGTCTCTCCACAAATTTGATTCAAAACTTCAGCAAGCTTCTTTGAATTTGTAAGCCAAACTGTAGGCTTTCGCACGTATCCTTCTTGTTCACGACCTTTCAAAACCATTTTCCAACAACACATTGTCGAGCGAACTCTATAAACCCCTGGCAGGCTTTCCAACTCTTTCACTTCTGGCATGTCCCAAGCTTTTGAAAGCTCAGGGTGTTCATGAAGGAAATACCGACCAGCGTCATACTGCTTCTTGTACATTTGGACTGATGTCTTCACTCTTTCTTTTCCAACACGAATCTCTTCTGCTACAACTGTAGGATCCCTTTTGTAGTCTGACAAACTGCGAAGCGATGAAAATGGCCCACAAGGAGGACTGCCTGTCACCAACCAAGGTTCTTCGTTCTCAATGATGGCCTCCAACTCGAGCCTGTCACGCTTCCGATCAAGATCCCACATGTCACTCCCATCTGGTTTCATCTCATTCAAATCAACTGCCACCCCTCTTTGCAAACCGTAGCAAGCTGCAAGTGAAGTGAACCGACTGGGAGAGAAAATCTCCATCACATCAACTGAACAAATTGATGCTGACAATGTTGCGATCTTTTGCACTTCCGAAAAATTGTAATCAACCCCTTCTTTCACAAACTGTTGTTCAATCATTTCTTCCAAAATTCGTTTCTGCACTGCTTTGTAGCTATGGTCAATGTCAAATTCCAAACTATTCAAATCAAAACTAGCGACTGCATCTGTGGGTGTCTCTGTAGGCAATGTGGTTGCTTCTTCTGCCATGGTCTGCTCAACTAATGTCTCAATGTCAACTTCTGCCGGCCTCTTTGGGGAATCCGGCCTGGTCAAGGCAGCAGGAGGCCTCGAGGGCCTCGAGGCCGATGATGAACTCTGTCCTTCAAGCACTTCGACATCCACCTCAGCCTTTCGTTTCGAAGGACTGGATGGCTCGTCAATTCTGGCCCTTTTGTCTTCTGCAATCTGTTTTTCATCTTGCTCTTCCTGAATTCTTTTGTAAATTCTGGCACGCCACTCAGCACTGTGCTGTATCTGCTGAATCATCTCGCCCTTCTTGACACTGTAGCAGCCGTCACAACCAGGAGTAGCTCCGAACTTCTCAATGAAGGCACGCTTGACTGGTTTGGCCTTCGCTGTACTCCTTGGCGACACATGCTCCTGGTCTTCAGCTGCATCAACTTGCACTGCCGTCTCATGCAAGCTTACCGGCACTGGGGTTGCCGGCATCATCAACGCAGGTGTCATCGGAGCAGGCGTCATTGGGCTCGACTCCAACTTCCTGTCATCTATTGCATGGATCTTCCACGGGGTCCCCATCAACTCACTCCAACCGTCAATGCTCCAACGTTCAGCTTCCGACAAACGATGAAACGAACTGCCGACCCGAACACCTTGTTTTGTGAGCACCAACACTGATCCAAACCGATTGTGCAATCCAACAAAATGTCCAGACTGCATCCTTGCTGCTGCATCGCTCCGTTTGCCACTGGATCCAGCCGCTTTGTACATGATGCGTTCACCAAACAAAGGAACTGGCTTCTTCCACTGTTTCCCCGTCCGACGTTCCTCCGGGGTTTGACCATCTGTACCAACCTTGTATCTGTTGATCATATCACTGCAATACCGGGGCAACCAAGACCAAACCACATGGTCTTCTGGGAGGCTCTGACCTAAACGCTTCTCAAGGCCACTCTTGTTGGCCCGCATGCGACGCTTCAAATCATTGATGCAACTCTCAACTTCACCATTTGCCTTGTGATCTCCTGGAGGAGACTCTTGGGGGATGATTGTGATATCCCCACAACCTGCAGCTGCTTCACGCTTCAACGCACGCATTGCTGGCTCACCATCACTCTTTGAGATGAACTTCTTGTATCCCAACAACTCATAAAATTTCCTCATCTGTTGCAAGCTAGCCTCATTCCGCGCCTTCTTGTTGTCAAGAGCTGTTGCAAACACCATCTTGGTCTTCCTGTCGATCATTGCAAGAAACGGTCTATTGTCATCCTCCTCCGGGGACATGTAAAAGAAATCATGGCTGACTACTGAAACTGTCTCTTCCTCATGGTCTTGCCTCATGTGGCGTTGTCCCAATCCCCAACCTTCAATGCACTGCGGGCACCAAGCCCTGTAAACCGCGTGACCACTTGCTTCATGCTCATCAATGTCTTTCTGGGTAGGCTGTCCTGGATCAAAGGCCGGAATGGCCCTACGAGCCTCAACTGGCTCCTCGACAGCCACCAACTCACCTTCCTCCAACGGAGCTAATGCAGGTTCTTGGAGCTCCGTTTCCTCCTCCTCTTGCAAGTCCGCCCATGACACTTTCTTCTTTGGCTTCTCAACTGATCCAAGTGAACGACTGTCTGACTCAACCTTCGACTGCGAGCCGCTCTCACCGACTCGCAAATACAAGTTGTACACGCCACGCTCCTCATACAAGGGGATCTCACCAACACCACCGAACCGACTGTAGGTTTTGCACAACTCTTTGTACAACCGACTTGAGTGATCAATCAATCTGCCACCGCCAGAGCCAAGCCACGTGTCAAAGCCCTTCTTGTGAACAGAACTCGCACTCAACAACACTTTATGGACATCAGTGACATGCCCAGTGACTCTTCTTTTGTGACCACTCTCATCAACACCTGTGATAGTTGCTTTGCCCAAATCATCCAACCTTTCCCCCGATGCGGTCTTGAAAGGCCGGTCACTCTGACCCGAGTCCACGCTCTCCGACTTGTAAACTTTGGGCAATGCTGTAATTGCTGCTCCTGTATCATAGTTCAAGCGAAGCCAACCATCACACAAGTCCGAACTCAAGTGACACAAATCTAGGCCACCAGCTTCTGCTTCCTTCTCCGGCTCCTGATTCAAGGCGTTCACACCTCGAGAGTTCCCTTTTGCATCTTTGCCTTTTCCACTTCCCTTGCTCCAACAATCTTTGGCCTTGTGGCCCTCTTTGCCACAGTTGTTGCACCGACCTTGGAAACGTGAGGCCTGTGATGAACTCCTCGAGGATGAAGTCTTGCCTTTGCCCTTGAACGAACTGTCCTTTCCTTTGCCCTTTCCTTTTGAGGACTTGCTCCAACAATCTTTTGCCAGATGGTTGGTTTTGCCACACAAGTAGCAAGCCCGCTTCCCATCTCCAGTGCCCTTCCCACCAGCCTTGCCTTTGTTACCCTTGGAACTCTTAATCAGAGCCCCGGTGTCCTTGATGCCCCTCACGGCATCAATCAATGCTCCAACATCCATAGGAACTGCTTCGCTCGACGATTGACTGAAATTGTTGCTGATGGTCATCTTGGCACCAGTCTTCGCTTCCACAAACACACGAACTTCCTCCTCCATCTGGTCGTATGTCTTGAAGCGAGTGTAGTTCAACTGTAAATGTTGCTCCAGATCTTTCGGAACAAGCTTCTCCAAGGCATTCATTGCTAAAATCTCAGGAAGTTCTTCACGCTTCCCGAACTGATCCTTCTTCCGATTGTATCGGGCCCTCAAAGCCCGCCACCTTTCCAGTGCTCCAGCCAAGGTCTCATAGGTTGCTCGGTCCGGCGTAGTGAGAGCATTCAGCATCACGCGTTTCCTCCCACCTGTCGCCGGATCATATTTTCTATGCAGCAATCTCCAAGCCTCAAGCCCACTATTGCTCGACGTGTTGTCAACAACATCAAAAGGCGTCCCCTCAGTTGTCGACCTCAATGCACTGTACAACTTCGTGTTCATGTCATCAATGTCTTCAATGACATCATTTGGATCTGCATGCTCACCGTAGGTATTGGCCAACAATGCACTGCTTACCTCTACCTCTGATTCTGAAGCCCACTGCATAGCTTCCCTGAACTTTTCCCCAAAAACTCCTGCTACATAATCTTCAAGTTTGATACTCCACAGCCTGAAACGAAGCTCTGCTTGCTCATCGCCCAGCGTCTGCGGCTTTCCCAAGCCTTTGCTATCAAACAAGTTCTTTCTATCTCTGTGTCCCCCGATCGATTCGAGGGCTTTGGGGATCAACTTCAAGACCTCCATGCTCTCGGCCCTCTCTTGCCTCAAGGCCTCATTCACAGCAGCGACCTGTCGAACCTCTGTCTCCGCCTGTTGAAGCCTCTGAGTAAGCACAACGTTGGCATCCCTCATCTGTTGGCTCTCTGTCAAGCTCCTCTGCAACTGTTCTTGCAATCGAGTTTGTCCCTGCTGCAGCGACTGAATTGCTTGCATCAATTGTTGGACATTCATCCCAGCTGCATCTTGTTGTTGGGCCATGTCGGAGTCAACAGCAACAAAAAGAACAACCCAACGCCCAGTCTCCCAAGCAATCGACCGACGAAATGCTCAACCAAGCGACAACCAATGTACAAGCTCAACAACCAATGCTGTTCCAACAAGCCCACAATGCACAAGCCAATGTCCAACACTGCCCTGATCAACTGATCAACACCGACAAAATGGGTCACAACTGCAAGACCCACAACAACTGAAGCAATGCTCCAACTCACCACCTGCGGCCCTTCTAAGTGGATCCTGTTGGACACGGCAGCCTTACCTTTAGACAATACCGTGCCCCGCCGCGCTACCATGCACGAGTGGGTTATTGAACCCTCCGCCCCGATCTCGCCTCGCCTTTTGGGCCTGCATGAGCTAGTGTATTGGACATCTTTACAAGTTCCACATAAACGCATACATAAACATACCAAACCACTTGCAAGATTTGGAACGCCTACTGCTAGACAAACGAAGCTTCTGTATGCGCTTGGAGAAAGTTGCGGGCTAGAATTCTGTCTTCTGTTATGCGTACGGCCACAATGCCCACATTATCGCCAGCCTCTGCAGCGGCTCAGCATGGCGATTGGCATGTGTAGTACTTTCATTGGCGGTGCTAGCAAGTAATAGAAATCAGAGTTAATTGATGGTAATTCTCTGGCTGTTACTGGGATCAGTATGGAGATGACATACAACTGCATGAATCTGTGCGCCAAACTAGAGTCAATAAACTCCCTCAAGAAAACCCAGTCGGTTGAGCTTCTTGGAGACTGTGTGGGGATGAGCTCGGAGGCAACTCTCATCAACATCATCGACAACAACAAACCATGTACATGGCAGTGAGGTGTGGTAAAGAGTGTTTGTCCATGTTTGTATCTCTGACTCAGCAGCGTAGAATTCATGAAGGTTCTGCCAATATTCATTCTGCTTCAGTCTACTTGCAGAGCTTTGGACATCTTCAACCCAGGCAGCCAGCAATCCTCACAAGCCGGCTCAAATCCTTCCCCCACTAGTTTCAGAACGGCTGATTCCTAAAGGCAACCACTAGCAGGCGGTTGCAACCATCTCATCTCTGTTATGTAGGTCTCTGGAGCCTTTCTCATCGTCACACCACTGGCCAAAGGAAGTATAGTGATCGAAGTTGACTAATTATATAATGTATCCCTAAATATCAATGTTGACTCACCAAGTGCATAGAGAAGGATGCACTAGGTGCTCACCAAAGCCGAATCTCTCAACCCTGCTGCTGCATTCAAAGTGTATATATATATATAATTGCTGAAGAACAACACAGACTTTGGTGGTACACGAAAAGCTAGGGTCACAGCAATCGATTCACCAAATGCTGTGCCAGCAACTTTTTCAAGAAGTCTCTACACTCTAGCATTCGTGTCTGCGCCACCTTGAGGCTCAGATCATGCTCCTACTCTTCCCTGCGCTTCTCATCTCTGAATCCCAGAATAGGAGCATGAGTGCGTTAGCTGACGGGGGTTTGTGATGCCTTGACGACATTTTCAGTCAGCTTGGCCGACTTGAAGGACCCTTCCGTCTCATGCATTGGCACAAACACCAGGGGCAGAATCGTCTCATGAGCAAATAGGTCTTTCAACATCTTCCAACACATCCTCCCCCTGACAACAAAGCGCGCATGTAAAGCGCGAGCCACACTTTGAGTTTAGCCTTTTTGGCCGTCGAACTATCCAAGGGAACAACTGGAAAAAGAAATGTACTATCAACTGGTACCACCAACCAAAATTTTCTGGAAACCTACGGGTGAAAGAACAGGTCTTCGGTCTATGGGCAGCTAGGGATATGAACACCACGCTTCTCCAAGTAGTGGATGAAGACTCTTCCCACACGAATACCGACTCTCACAACGTCAGCTGTCCACGGCATTGATTGCCACAACCTGGGCGTGCAATCGGCTCAGTCTTCGTCGGAGAGCACGAGGATGTTGAATGATGTTGGTATGTATGAAATGCTACAGCTCCATGTCTTTTCAGCCTCTGACTGAATGAGCAGGCAGGCATGTTTTCTTTGAACACACGCTGCGATTGAATGGATGATGCTGCATCGGCACTCCCTTTCAGAGCTGTGCTATGGCATCCATTTCCACGGCACCATTGAGACCAACATGAGTGGTACCAGTACAGATGCGGGCAGGCAAAGGCCGGGATCCCCAGACTTGGAGATATCCTTGCCAGGGCAGTGCGCATCTCTGGATGCGCAAACTTGTCGCCAAAGGCCGGTATGTGGAGATGTGTACAGACCGTGGACTCACCCAGCTGGACATGCTCACAGAAAAAGTGCGTTGATTGTTCGAAGCGAAAAGTGAAAGCCGAAAAGTTTAAAATCGACAAGTCGCAAAACGCTTCGCGACAAGTCAAAGTCGAATTTGTAGTTTCGGATTTTTGCGTTTTTGCGTGTCCCTTCGCTGGTCTGGGAATGCTGTCATGTGTGTGTGTGTGTGTGTCACACTCCGCTCCTAGGAGTTACGGAACTGTTTTGCAGGGGGCTAGCGGCCCAATTCTCGACGCTAGCCAACGAAGCTAGAGAAATGGATGGATGAGTCTGTGGACGCACAGACTTGCACCTGCAATGCAACTGTTGACCACGCTGTTCCACTCTCGGTCTGATTCCATGGTTTTTCGCACGATACTTCCGACAAACAGGTTTCCCTCAGCCACTTTCCACTGGCGTGCAGCTGCAGTCACGCATCAACAATTTGAACATTCTAATTGAGCTGATCATGCGCCATTCCGTTCCCTCACTCTTTTCTTCGTGGAACAGAGTTAACTGCAAACCCAACGACTAAGTGTGCATGGTACTGTATGTGGTTTGTGGGGTGGGCTTGGAGCCCTGCCACTTCATGCCCCACAAAATGGACAGCATCTTCAGGCTTAAAGCATCAAGAGTTCAAAACTGAAAGTGAGCCAAGGCGTGCCTGGCCCAAGGCAAAGCATGTCCGCTGTTTCTTTGTGGTGTCTAGTCTGCTGGTATTTCCGCTGTTGCTGAGAACTGCTGAACAGAATCAGGTATGCCGATCTCAAACTTGCTAGTGCGTTACAAGTCGCACTACCTGGAGCAAAGCACATACCAAACAACGCCCCAGGAAACAAACAAAAACACAAAGACCAACCTGCAGGTCCTTTCTGAAAAGTCGAAAGGTCGATCAGTGTCTCCAGCGCGTAGGCGGCCGTTCCGAGAAAGATCAAAAATCCGTCAAAAGGTTGAAAAGTTGTCTGCAGCATGTGGGGAAAAAACGGTTTGACTTGTTGCGAAAGGCGTCCGTCTTCTCGTTCTGTGCGGTGTGCACACGATAAGAGTGCGGAGTGCGAATGGTTTGTTTCCGAACCGTGATGGAAACCACGGTTGAACCGTGTGATGTCCGAGTCACTGCACATGGCATCAATCCAGCACTGAGACCGATGGCCACGACTCAACGCAGTGCAACACGAGCACTTTGACTAAACAAAACGTCAAAGCCACATGTATAATTTGGATCTTCTGGTAGCGAAGGTAATGACAAGCACTGTTCTTGAATGTTCTCGACCACTCCCAATGAGAACAGGCAATTGTGTAGCAAGAAGCTGGTTGTGAGAGATCAAGTGATGGAAAATAAATGAACATAGACTGAAACTTGAGCAATCCTTCAAACTGGACAGCACCTCTCTTCCCTTACACAAATAAATTTGACCGATTTTGGTCCGCTCTTTTTCGCTGTCGTGTACAGGCTTGGTGTTTCGCATCTTGCTCTAACTGGGTGCGTGGCCCACGGACAAGGACGGTGCAATGCTGTTCAGGAAAATGACCATGGAACAACAAAGGAAAGTCTACGCAATGGAACCAGACTTGCATCACTACCTGAGAATCAACACAAATACTGTCAGCGTTTAGAGAACCCTCAGTCCTTTGTTCATAGCCTGAAACCGCTCCTGAGTGTAGTCCACCAAGAATGCCTGAGCTTGGTTGCAAGACAAGGGACACATCGGACGCGTCTACAATGCTGCCTTTGCAAGAATGGAAGCATCTTGACGAGTCACTCCCAGCTGGGGTCAGAACTCTGTCAATCCCTTTCACTGCCTTCAAGAAACTCCTTGAAAGAGGAAACAAGCTAGTAGAATGATACAATGTTTGATGTCCTATGAGTGAAATGCTCAGATGCAAAATGGCTCGAAAGCATCTAAAGCATCATGCTTCATGGAAACCTGTCCCGTCACTCCGAGATTTTCCCCCAGAGAGAGAGAGAGAGAGCGAGCGAGCCTGACTCCGGCATCGGCCCACACCCCGCCGAGACACGTGGACCATCGTGACATGGTCCAAGCAAGCCCCGCATGCACGAAGGGAAGCTTCGATGATTCGGAGCGTCTGAAGAGCCTCCTTCTCGGGTCCACCTCCCATCGCCGACAAGATGTAGGAGCAAGGACGCTACTAGGAACAAAGGGCATCGCTACTAGAAGCAAAGACGCTACTAGGGGCTCCTGGCCGTACTACTAGGAACAAGAGGATGAAGAATTAAAGTGATGTGAAATGCATCATATGAGATCTGATCACCATCGCCCATCGCCGTTGTCATGCTCTTCAAGCGGCAAACAAATCTGACCCTGCAAGACTCTGCATCCAATCCCAAACTGTCCCCAATGTGCTTGATCTGTCAGCACGTGTACTCCCTAAACCCAGATCGTGGCCTGGCACTATCATTGGCTTTCCATCCGGTCCCTTCAGTGCACCCACCGCTCCGGAAACATAAATGGTCCCATTCATAGTGACGACCGCAGAGCAAAAGGGCAAGGCATTGGGAATGCCCAGCAAGGAGTTCCAGTCCAAGGTCACGTGGATCTTTCCGTTGCTGGCCTGGCGAAGATGAAGACGCAGGTGGTCATCAAGACAGCAACATGTCAAAACACCTCGAGAATAAAACAGAATCTTGGACCTACGAGCATGTCAAAGCCTGTTAAGCCTGGTAGTCAGGTGTCTCATGATAGTTTTCATCTTTCGCTACACCAATCAGGAATGCAACTTGCAAGTGTAGTAAATAAGTTGATAGAACACAATCACAACTGCAACCCCTAAGCTCCTGCCTGCTGTTTCACCGCAACCTCACCGACACCCTCCACATTGACACTCTTCGCAATGCGCACCGGCGGAGGTCGACGGGGTCGTGACAGGAAGTGACAAGCGAGGGACACTCCGAGGGCAACAGAAGCCGACAAAGCGGCCAAGTGATGCTCGGAGAGCATGACTACGGCTGCTCTGGCTGCGATGTGTTTTAAACACAAGCACCGCTTGGTGGGTGGGAAGATGTGGGAAGCCAAATCGTACAGATCGCGTTGGTGAGGGTTTTGGATGGAAAAGCGTGTTTGACCTAAACCAAAGTTGCGTGGTAAAAAGCCTGTTACTGGTGTTGAATAGGTGCTGGAGCCAACATGACAGAAATCCACAAGGCGTCATGCAATGTCCAAACAAGAAAAAGATTGAGACTAGCTGCACTCACATATTGGTTGTCCAGGGGTGACCCCAAAAACAAAAGACAAGCTGCAATGATCAAGCTCAAATGCTGAAAGAGTTGCTGCATGTTGCTTTCTGACCCTCTCCATCTTCACTTGTCGTACACCTTGCGCTCAAGGTGACGACCCAACATAGGCAGTGCAACAGCCAGAACGGCAGAGTCGAGCCTGAGCTAGCCGTGAGGATCCGTGAGAATCAAGAAGACACCGCACAGCAACATGTCAACTGCATGAAAACAGCACCCGAAGTTCTCAAATCACCCCACACTCCGGAAATCTTCACCTTGAGAAGCAGATTCTCTTCAGTCAGTTAGCTAGATGATGCTAGATCCACATGGGCCAGGAGCCCCTAGTAGCGTGTCTGCCTTTTGCAAAGTTAAGACAGATTGGCAAAGAGAACTCTTGCAGAGTGTACATTCGAAGATTGAGGCTTGCCCAAAAAGGCCAAAAGTGGCAACGCGAAAACCCACCTTTGAAAGGGCCGGCGTTCTGATCCCCTTTATTAAACTGGCTTCCCAACCACAAAAGAAAAACTTGGGCTGGCACGAATTGCCCAGCCACCTTGCAGACCGGCAGATAGGCAGTCAGTTGTCCGTGCATTGTCCATCGATTGTTGCACTCAAAAGCTTCCCCCGGCGAAAATCTACGGCTCTCCAGATTGCTGAAAATCTCACAATATCAGAGACCAAAACAAACCTCAATCGTCAAAGTGTTCAGGCAAATGGTTCAACAAACTCCCGAGCTGACTGGAGTACATGAGAGGTGCTTAATTCGAAGGAAGCTGAGCACTGCAAAAGATTGGAAGTGCCCAACCTTCTCAAGCAAGCACAAGTTGCAAAAATATCGTCAATTCAAGTGCCAGACCAGTCAACATTTCCTGTGCTTCCTCCGAAAGATCTTCTGCAGGTTCCTGGAATGTAAAAATCCACTTCACGGGAGCTTGGAAGAACCGCGTCAAATGTGACTCCTTTGTTCCTTGCACCTCCTGGGTGTTTCTCGCCCAACATACATCATACTGACCGCAACCCCCTGTTCTGCCAGCAATGACAGCCACCAAGGGTTTGGTCACGGACCCTCTCGCTCTCTCTCTATATATATATATATACATACATACATATCTAAGCATTGACCTTTGCCATTGTTTCCATTATTGTCAGTACAGCCTAAACCTAAACATAGGATTTCAGATAATAAATACTTACTCCACATTGATCCGTCAGTGCAGTTGACTGGAGATATGGGGACGTCGTGATGGATGTCCTCGCCAAAGAAGAAGCCAGGGATGGGAATGGACAGCAGTTGGCTCCTCAAACCATATTCTCAAGCAGGCACTCATACACCTCTTCCATTTATCATAGTACAGACTCATTCCTCCAACTGCACTGAAGGAAGCAAATCCGCAAGCAAAAAACACACTTCTGAGTCTTCCACGAGCACATGGGTGAATCTGAACAAAGTTTCACCTGAGCCGTTGCGATCACTCGGTCCAAGCAGGTGAGCTTCAGGTCCAACTTGGTCCTCCATATGCCTTTAAGTTGCTTCATCCCTTTTCAATCTATTCAAAAGTTGTCAGTGAAACGAAAGCTGCATGGAAGCCACAGTCACAGCTTCCATGCTGGTATCCATTCCATTAAATGCGTTCTCTTCGGGAAATGGATAGTCCCACACATCTACAGAAGTTGCGGATCAGGCCCCCTTCGGCCTGCCAAAGGTTGTCGTAGGGCATGCCTTGCTCTTCCCTGGCAGTTTACAAGTGGTCTCGATGAAGTCACCTCAAAGGACTAGTGCGCAACCGGTTGGTAACTTGCCAGCAGCTTGTTCTGCTGGAACTTCACCACACTCAAACTCGCAGGGATGGCGATGGCGTCAAGGCCGGGAAAGAGTAGTGGAAGGTGCCCGTCACATTCTTGGTCATATCAAGGCCAAACCTGAGCAGTTCTTTGGAGGACATTGGAAGATATGCGCTTGGAAAACATGTAAATGGTGCTTCACAGTGAACTTGGATCATGATTCACTTCACTATCTACAAGCTGCTTCGAGGCTCCCACCAAAGCTGGCGAGGCAAAATGTCTGTCCAGTTCCATTCCGTCACGGGCTGGGCGGTACGATCACGTTGAAGGCTCTGCTCCGACGTCTTAAATTTATGCCAAAGAAAGCCAGCTTGACTCGACAGAAATACAAATGAAGAAGTGTTCAGGCAGGCTTCTCTAGCTTGCAAACAACGGGGCATTATCCACTAAGAGTGCAGGAAAACATGAAATCAACTGACAAGTCTGCACGCTTCTTCTGAAGGGAAGTCATTGACCTGGCCATTTCAGGTTTCTTAGGGCCTGGCCACATAGTCATCTCTCTTCAGTCTTTGCACATCTTTGGGTCGACGGACTTTCAGCTCGATCCTGGTGTCAAGACCATGCCATTGTGCTCATGGCCGACGCTCGCATGCTAAGGCTTCTAAGGCATTGCCTTAGGCAAGTCTGCTAATGCAAGGAGGTTGGAGGCCATCGCCAGTAGGTTTCCTTGCTAATGATTGAGGTGCGCACCCTTCCGGCGCCATGATTTCAATGACTCGCAAGGGCGTGCTGCCCTCTTCGCCACGCGGCCTCGTGAGTGTGAGATGCAATGCAAAGAGGTTCTGTGGAACCGTGTGGGAAGGAGGACGAGCTGCGACTCTGCTGTGTTCCTGGTTTATGAGAGAAAACATCAAGCTGAGGAGAACACGGGTGGAAAACCCAAAGACAACACCAGGACAGCTAGCAATCTGAAACGAGGCTGGATTGGTGGATCATGTGCTGAGTCCCCAACAGAGTCTGGTTGAAAGAGAAATGAATCGCCACTGACATCATCGAGGCAGGCACCTGATGCCGTCCAACATGCATTTCTTCGAATACTCCTGCCGACTGCCATAGTTTGCCTTTCTTTTCGGGCTGACGACCTGAGGACCTGTGCCTTGAAATTTGAATCCAAACGGAGGCGCCAAGCACCGGCAGGACAAAAGGACAAGGACATCTAATCTACCCCGTCTGAGCTAGGTTCACGGTGCCCCATCCCGTCGAGTCAAGCACCGGCGTTGTGAACCAAATCTTGAAGTCTTGGACCTCAGACTACTAAGTCTTGGGTGAGTTGCTACTAGTAGCAAGGTGCATCGCTACTAGTAGCAAGGACGCTACTAGCTAAGTGCCTTACTACTAGTAGCAACAAGAAGCTACTAGTTAGCAAGGTGCCTTACTACTAGTTATATGATGTTGTATGAGGATGCAGTGATGCATTAAGGTGGATTGAACAGGATTGGACGGCAGTAGCAAGAACTTCATGAATTTTTGCTGTATTGTACCACCACCACAAACTTGAGAGGAGGGAGACACGAAAGGTAGGACAGCGGGAAGAGAAGAGAACGCGAGAGGCAGGAACAAAAATGCAATGTTCGACATGGTGATTTATCCCCTCGGAGGCGACCTTTCGTAAATATATGTTCATATGCACTTTAAATGTTCAAACATGTGCTCTCGAAATGTTCAAAAAGATTCTTAGGAAAACAAACTTGCCCCATGGCTCAGATCATCGGTGAGCATTGAATCGGAACATCATAGGATTTGAACTATCCTGAAACCATAAGAGGCTCACGAAGACGCTCCCCAGGAGAGAATTGACGTGCTTCACAAAACGTATCCCCTCGGGGAACACCTTTCGTGATTTGAATTTCATATTCACTCTTATACTCTTTCTGAATGTTCAAGAGGGTTTCAACTATCCTGAAATCATGAGAGGCTCACGAAGACGTTCTCCAGGAGAGAATTGATTTTAGAGGGGGGGAGGGGGGGGGGGTCTGAATTGAGCGATCAATTATTAGACCCGGACGTCCCAACACTTGCTTCGCAAGACAAACTCAAGGTATCCCCTAAAGGGCTACCTTTCGTGATCAAGGACGTTGCCATGAACTCGAAGAATCTCGTTTGTCAAAATGTCAAGCGATTTACATCGGGGTCAAAACACTTCCAAGTCAAGGCTTGGGGCCCGAGCACGTGGGATTGTGCGAACCTGGCCGTCAAAGCCGGCCAAGAATCAACTTCTGAAGAATTGCTGTCAATACGACTGGCACATTGTGGAATAGTGCAATATAATATAATATAATATAATATACTATTGCAAAACAGCTTCCAAACCTGCAGGCCTGACTCAGTCTGCATAATGACACCACAACTATGTCCTGTGACCACCATTGACCACCAGTTCCTCGCCTCTTCCCCAGGAAGCCATAAGTTCCCATCAGTCGCGACTTTGTTGGCATCCATCACGCGTACCCGGAATACCTGGCTCCAGCAAACGACCAAAACATCCAAAACCCTGAAGGTGGGCGGCATTTTCTACTGTTGAACTCACACCATGTTTGAACTGGATACTTTTCAAGCGCCATCCTCCTAAGTGTTTCATGGTGTTTCCAATCTGCTAGGTCTGTGTTTGCAAACATGGCTCAGGGCACATTGTTGCTCCGTATCTTCGGAGTGTTAAATGGCACCTTCACTGTGATTGACCACAGCAGCTCCGTATTCGCCTGCAAAAGTGACGGAAAGGGCTGTTGGTTTTTGAAGGTTCTCAAAACGTTGACAAGGGAGTGATTGGAATCAAGTCTTATTGTAAAGTTTTGCTTTGCCCTTGGCCGTTACACTGAAAAAGCACGACGGCCCTCACCTATTTCCAGCCGCCCTGAGCCGTGACAGGCTATCGAACAGACACTAGCCCCCTATGGAGCTAGCGCCCTACGTCGGCGATATGTGCGCTTTCGCACAGCCGCGTCGGCTCTCAGCTTCTTGGCCTCGTCAGTGTCCTTCAAAGCCCAGGTGCCGTTCTCCATGACCTTCACCAGCTTGTTGTTCCCGACCAGTTTGGTCAGGTCGTCAGCGAGGATCTCTTCCCCGGGGACCCATCGCACCAGGCGAGCACCGCCGTCCTCCTGCAGTGCTTGTCGCATGGACGCGACATCAATCGCCAATCTCTTGTCTTCTCCGAGCGAAGTTCCATTCAACAAGTCATACCCGGTCTTGGAGTCCATCACCGCCACCTGCCTCCACTTCGAGACTGACGAGAGCCAATGCTTGAGCGAAAATCCCTTCTCCAAGGCTTCGGCCATCAGGGCCCTCAAGAAATCAGCTTCTTCCATTGCCGTAGCCGCTTGAGACACCTCCGCAGCCAACGAAGATCTGACCACCCTCTTCAACAGGCCAGAGTGAAAAGCCAGGACATTCACGTTGGCTTCGCCGTCCATGATCTTCGGGTTGGCCCATCAGCACCACCATCCCACCTTGAGAGCGTCCCTTCGGCATCCCTCCGAACGAAGCGTCCGAGACTGCCAGAACAACCAGATCGTTGATATGGCACCCAAGATGTTTGAACACATGAAAATGTGGTTCACGTGCTCGGTCAACCAAGATCTTCAGCTCCAGCAAGGCCTCCGGGTCATTCGCGCCGGCTAACTGCTGGATCCTGGAGCATCCATATAGCAGGTCTGCTCGAAGTTGTCGTGCCAACCAGCTCAACTGTCCGATGATTGCGCCAATCCATGCTCGTTCATTTGGCATCAACTGTTGGCGACTCTGTGGATTCGATCGTTGAGGAGGATCTTTGACCTTCTTGGAATACTCGTTCATCTGAATGGTGATCGAGTAGTCGGCATTCTGCCTCTCCCGCCGTCCACAGAACTTCGTGTCCTCTTGAGGGTGCACCCAGTCGCCAAAGGTGAACAGGTTCTTCAACTTCGACCAGAGCTGCTCCTCAGCCTCTTCACTGCCGATGAACCGCACATCATCCACATGCACCGCCAGCATGGCCCACAAATGACCTTCGGGATCATAAAAGGCAAACACCCCAGGCGCCAAGCGCAGCTCCTTGCCTCCAATGCCAGCAACATCTCGGCTGAACCTCTGATACCACAATCTTGGGCTCTCAGCGAGGCCAAAACCAGCCTTCTTCATTCTGAACATGTCCGTGCGAGCCCCAGGAGGAACTTTGGTCATCAAAAACTGGCGCACAAACAACGGGTAGTTCTTGGGTGACTGCACGAAGACTCTCCGGCCCTCTGGAAGATAATCTCCCTGAAGGAATGCCGCGGAAATGTCAGCAAAATACATGCGCCAACGAAGCTGTGCAGCCAGGAAGCACACAAAATTGTGCGCAACAAGGCTGGCAGTCGGAGCATCGGTAGCATAGTCACCAGCACGTTGATCACGATGACCAGCAATGACCAGCCTGGCTTTGAGCTTTGCCAGCTCCAGATCCGCCTCCGTGGGGTGAGTGTTTTTTGGGTCTGCTTTGTTGACTAGCACGAACCTGCTCGATTCGTGGACCGTCTCTTCGGGCATAACCGGAGCCAGAGCATCATGTCGGAAGTAAATGTCAAGCGCCTCAATGATGGGGTCCTCAAAAGCCTTTTGCCATGCAGGTGATAGTTGACTCCATTGCAGTTCAAGTCTCGCCTTACCAGTTTCTGGTTTGTCCATGTCAGGCTCCGGGACCAGAGGCAAATGTTCCTTGGAACTCAACTCAAGTTGCCCTCGATGTGGAGGATGAGCTGTAGGAGGTGCCAGTGCTGCTGTCGTCTCGAATGCCTGAAAACACTCCAACACATCTAAAGCAACCTCCAGACGCTTTGTCGATTGCAACATGTCATCCATCGAAGGGTCAAAGAAGTTCGCTGCCTGCCCCTCAGTCACCAACACTTGATAGGCTGCATTCGATCGCAGATGTCGCCTCCAAAGATCTTCGGCAGCTGCACGGCCCTGCATCCACGTAGCCAGGATTGGATGATCCTTCGCAGGATCCATTGTCACAAATCTGGTGACCCCTCTCCACAGCTGGTTCATGTGCACCGATGGATCCAGCCCTTCCAGAAGATGTTGTCCACCAGGTACTCCTTGGATGCCTGTGGAGTCAGATATCCCACCTGGGTGGCCCGTAGTCCTTGTAGTCCAGGTACTTCTGGAGGTAGTGACTGTCCATCCTGCTGATGGTCATCATCAGGAATAAAACCTGGGACAAACATGTATTGTCGAGGTTGAAGGTGTACTCGCCAAAGTTCACGTTGTGATGGCGCGTGCAACCAATAATCTTGTTCACCACTCAACCTCAACAGCATCTCTCCTGGAAGGTGAGCCTCCATATAGTCGCTCAAATCATCCAACACCTGTGCTCGGCCAGGAGCTTTCTTGTAGACCTCAATGATCTCATTGCGAGTGAGCGGTCTCCTCAGACGACCAGGAACATCTCCCAGCATTCTCCACTTCGCCACCGGCATAGAGGGTGTCGGGTTCCTCCTCCGAATGCCAATCCTCCGGTCACCATCCGGACGCCAATCAGCCTCCAAGACGTCATAGTCAATGTTGATGGGATGGCATTCTCGGAGCATGTCAACCACATACATGTCATGGGAGACCTCATGCGGAGTACCCTGATCGTCATAGACACTCGGCACCGCGAAGAGATCGACCTCAATGAAGGGTGAATCAACTGACGGCGCTGTGACGTTTGTGTAGTCGGAGTATGGACTGTACATGGGATCAGCACTGTTGGGAACCTCCGATTCACCTCCTTCAACTTCTTCACTGATCTCACAATCTCTGACCGGCATCACCGCTAGGGTCTCCTTTTTCTCAAGCTTGGTCTTCATCTTCTTTAGGTGCTCCTGCGTCGATTTGAAGGCCGTCTCGTAAAAGTCTCGCTTCTGTCTGACGGATGCCAGAGCAGGATCCACCGCCGAAGATGATGCCACCGTTGCTCGAATAGAGGATGCCTCGGCCTCCACTCTCCTCCTAGTCGAGCGTTCAGCCGGCCTCTCAGCAGCCTTCTGCTTGATCTTCTGAGCCACGGAAATGGGCATATCATCTAGCACCGACGTCGCTCGGTGTAGGTCCTCCACCCGTACTGGCTTGTCTTCAGCAGGTTGTTCATCGTCACTGAACTCCATGGGAGGATACCTCGGATCAGGTGGGGCCGGTGTGTTCGACACAGCAGGGGTTTGTGTCTCTTCCGCGATGTCCACGTTCACCCTGCCCGAGTGGAGTTGCTTCATCAGGTCCTGCAAGGCTTCTTTCGTCACCTTGGTCGACTCCATCTCATCTCCAGTGGCCAATCTAATATGTTTGAGCGGTAGTCCACGAAGTTTGTGTCGATAGCGAATCCAAACTCGCTTCACAGCTCCATCTGACCGTTCGACCGCCACCACGACAGCCGGGCCCACCCATGAGATCTGATCTTGGAGTCGCCGCGCCAAGCCGCGGCGACTCACTGGTGGCTCATAGAACATCACCATGGAGCCCTCCACCATCAATTCCAACCTCGGCAATCTCGCCCGGGACCCAGCAGCACGTTTCAGTGCATCGCTCGCCTCCAACCATTGAAAGGCCTCCGTCGCTGCCCGGCGAATAGAGCTCGCTCTGTGGATCGCCTCCTCCATGGTCTGGGGATTGGAGATCTGAAACTTGAACTGTCCGGCAATGGCTTCCATCAGGTTGCCGGGAAGGCTCATCGACCAAAGATCAGCTGAATGGGTGAGAAGCCTGACACTCGTGACTGCAGATTGCGAGCCGCCACCGCCGCCGCCACCGTCGTTTCCACCTCCTCCAAACCCATCACCGTCTTCTCCTTGATGATCTTCATCACCATCAACTTCAAGACGGCACCATGGCGTTCTGCCAGCCCCATCCTCCAGGAAGCGCTCGGTGGAACCATGTCAGGGTAGACACTGAAAGTCCGTAGAATGCCCTCGACCGCGCCTTGGAACTCAGGGCCTTGATCAGTCATGAGGACATTCGGGGCACCAAAGGCTCTGATCCAGCCATCTCGGAGTAGCGACACCGTCGATTGGGCAGCAGCATCCACTGAAGCAATCGCCATTTGGTACAGTGAAAAAGCATCCACCAAGGGGTTGATGCTCCTGCTGTTGCCCTCAAGAGCTTGATCAAGAGGCTGCAACCTCAGATGGAGGACTTGTTGTTGTTGTTGTTGACAGTTAACGCAATGCTGAAATGAGAAATGAAGGAGATAATAGCAAATGAGCAACGCGCCACTTGCCACTAACTAATTTACTACATCTGCTGTGCCATTCACTTGAGCTTCGCAGGAAAGACATGGTGGCGGACTAGCAGTTGATCACAGGTTCTGCAGCGAAGCTGGGTCACTGCGAATTTGGCTGCCTTGGCATCCCAAACATAGAAGGTGTCTGAGCAAACACGGACATTGAAACTCATCGGGCGAGCATAGGCAGCTTTTGGAGTGGTGTGAGGCGCTGTCACCTGTCGACATATTTGACATTCCATGTCCTTTATTGCTTGGAGGACAATTGGTTTGGCCCCGTTCTGTGACATCATCCGGGCTAACTTGTCGTTGCTTATATGTCCAAGTGCAACATGCAAGTGTGCCAATGTCGAGCGCACCTTCTTGCCCAAACCACTCGACGCCCCAAGGAAGGAGATGTAGTCGTAGCGGTGCAGACCATCCACCGCTGCCATCTGTTGTCGCAGTTGCCCTTCAACTGTTGGCTCAACCTCCACGGGGACCGCCTCCCAGATCCGGGTATCCGGTGTAGGTTGATGTAATTCGATCATCACCTGCGAATTTTCCTCCTTCAGTGCCTCCAAACCATCCAGTCGCAGAACCCCTTCGGCCACTGAGCCGCCAGCGTAGACCTCTTCATAGCCACCATTCTGCCCTTTTCATCATCCCAAACCGACACCGAACCTTCAATGGGCTGATGATCACCAGGTCGGCACTGACACATCCGGGCCGGGAACATCTCCGCGGTGATGGCCGCATGGTTCATCTGCACTACTGTGGGTTTCTTGTGCGGCCGGTTGTTCACCTCGTCCTTCATGCCCAACCGGCACATGTGCACCACTCGTTGATGTACTTGGCGACGTCGTGTCATCATGGGAAGACGCAAAGCTTCCGAGGACGCGGGTTGTTCCAAGACCACCAACCCCCCAGTGGAGCACTGAAAGTCCCAAAGCCAAGTGACAAACTCCCAAAAAGGTAGATGTTGGCGACGGAGGTCATGAAGAGCACTCTTCCGCTTGCGCATCCGAAGCCAAGCAGACCAAGGTCCGCAAGGAGGGGCGACCGTGACGACATCAGGTCGCTGTGTCCGGATGACATCCTTGAGCATCTCCAACTGCTGTGGATCTAGTAAATCCAGTCCATATATAGGATGTCTTGAGGAGGAAGGACATCCCAGCAGGCACTCCGTGTCTGACGGGCTCGTTGAGAGAATCGCGCACATCCTGCAAACACTTCCAGCAGCGTCCAAGCCTTCACCTGAGCAGACTTGGCATGGAGGACATCAAAGACCTTGGCATGAGTGAGAAGGGCCTTTTGCACGCCCTGCTGAATGGTCCGACGTTGACGTCGGTTCAGTGTATGTTTTCCCATGCCGGGAGTGCCAGTCCCCATATCACCCTGCTCATCGGCAGACAGGCCACCCTCGGGATCCTCAGTCTTATAGTCCGGCGCCATCTGGAGCGCATCTGCCATCTCCTCATAGTCCTCATCCTTATCGTCGAGCACCAGATCAATGCGGTCCCTTTGGCGTGCCCTCATCTCTGCCGTTTCCAAGTTGTCTGGATCTACTGAGCCAGCCAAGCCACCTTCAGAGAACAACACAGCTGTCGAGCCGCTCCCAGATGGCCCCATAGGCTGGCAATTCAATGTGGTTGCCGTGCATCTTCATGATCCACCTGGGATTGCGCTTCCATCGGCGCTTCTCCATCTCCACGGCCATCTTGATCCTGAGCATGAGCAGCAACAGCTTCCATTTGAAAGTGAACGTCTGGCTCCGGAGGCTGATCATCAAGTTCATCGTTGGATCGTCCGAGAACTGGGTCGACAGGGACGGAAATGGTGCTTCGTCTCCTGTGAGCGCGGCGGTCCTGACCGCTCTGGGCGTCTTCTTCATCTTGTCCTTGGCCGGAATCGGCTCCTGGCTCCGGCCGCGATGGCGCGCTCCCGGATCGACCTCTGCCTCCTCCTTGTTCAGGTTCTGGGCCATCATCTCCTGCATCTTCATCATCATGGCCTGCATCTGAGCCATGTTCATCTGGGTCATGTCCATTTGGGCTGTCGAGCTCGAAGCACCTCGAGTCGGCTCCTCCTTGGTGTCCCGAGCCTTGTTCATCTTGCCCAGGGGCTTGCGCCCTGGCGGACTGGGTGATGTCGGGCTCCTCCGCAGCATGCGATTCAAAGACTGCCGCTTCACCGTCCTCATCGGAGTTCTCACCTGAGCCAAGCCCGTGGGATCCTCTTCTTGGGCGGACATCTCTTCCAGCTCACTGTCCTGTCCCACGTTTTCCCATTCCTGCTGGCTGAGTTCGTAGGCCTCCGGCTGCTCGTTCACAGGCTGCCGTCTGCGCTCGGCCATGTGCTTGCGGGAGCGAGTCCGACGGGTCAGGTTGTCCTGGTCCCAATCCCGAATTGCTGAGCCCCGCGGGTCGGCCAATACAACAATCTCTTTGTGATCCTGCATGACAAAATCCGACGAGATCGACCTCCTCGAGATTCCTCCAAAATCGTTTATCGGGATCACATAGTGGCCTCCTTTGGATTGTCCCAGGCCATAGCCCTTCACCCAAAATCGTCTTGAAGAAACTGAATGAGAAGCCGTATCAATGACCAACCCCAACGCAGAACAAACCGGCTTGGAGAGCAAGGGAGGACAAGTACCATGCACTATTGAGATCCGAAGGATGCCATGAATGCCAGCAAGTGCCACTTCCAATAATACCGCAAACTTGCTCTGGACGACTTGACCATCCCCGAAACGAAATTGTTCTTCCTCGGGGACCACCTTGATGAACCAGTTGTTGTCCTTCCATTCCTTCACGATTCGATTGGTCCAAGTAGTTCCGGCCACCGTGCACCATATACACTCCAGCAGAAGCTAAAGTCTCCAACAAAGCCCAGTCTCCATTGGCTTCTCCTTGCGACGGTAGGGGCACTCTTGGCTCAATGGCCTAATTGGTGGCAGATGAAGCACGGTTCCTTCTTCTGTTGCTCTGCCACCCACTTCTTCACATGCTCGTTTCGAGCTGCCGCTGGTCCACCAGGTGCATCCTTCTGGAAGTATTGCCTCATCTTCTTGATTTCTCGCACCCGGTTCCGGGCCTTATACTCTTGGGTAGATCTCCGCCAAGGATAGTGCCGAGGAAGGACTCTCTGAGGTAGCTGCCGTGACAAACGTCTCATTTGGCACTCCACTGAACTCTGTCATATCAGTCAACTGATCTGACCGGGCCTCCTCGTCATCCATGGGCTCTTCACCCATCAACTCCAACAAGTCCTCGGCCCCAGCGCCCAATGCCTCACCATCGTCCTCATCTTCTAAGATGGCTACCAAGGCATCACGGATCCTGCCACGGCGAAAACGACCAAAAGCGCCACCCCGCCCCCGTGGAAAAGGGCGGCGCCGTGGGGTATGATCAGAAGCCGAAGTCGGAGTAGTTGAGGATGTGGGTGTTCCAGGTTTTTGGACCAGGTATTGGTCTTCATTATCCGATTGGGGTTCCCCCCGACCAATGGGGCAATGTGGAGCCCCTTCGAACTGCTCAGCCAGTTCGAGCATCGCTGAAATCACCTTGGTTTCATCCTCAACATCGCCACCACAAGCTGCTTTCAAGAGTGCAAGGTCCTTGCGGGTGAGCTTGCAGCTGTCCAACAAGTGGCCCACATAAAAACAGGATCCAACCCTGTAGGCTGGGGATGCTTCGTTCTCCCGTCTGTAAATCTCTGCTCGGTTGATGAAGCTCTCGATGCTCTCGTTGGCCAAGCGGGTCAACTTCATGAACTTTTTTGTCTGCGTTTATCGATCTTCTTGTTGTCGAGTAACCTGATTATTGGAGATTTCTCCATCTCCAATTTGATGAGCTCCACCCCCTGCTCCGAAGTGACCTGCTCAACCGTCAAGTGCTGGACGATCTTGCCGGCTCTCTCCCGCAGCTGTTTGCATCAACCGCGGGCCTCTCATTTCCACTGGCAACGATTTGCCTTCTGAAGCGAGCCAGAAAGTCACCGTCCTCCAGTATTGTTCCCAACTCTAACCCGGCCGGGCGTAGAAAATTGGTGGGTAGGTTGTGGAGATCTTCCCAGTAGTTGAACCTTCCTTCGACGAACCAGAGAAGCCGCCAGCTCCACCGCCAGCTCCACCCGACCCACCTGCTACAGACGGTTGTCCTGAAGGAATGTCGCCTGTAGGCTTGTTCCATTCACCGGCTGGGGGAGCCGCAGGAGACATGGGCGATACTTCCCCCGGTCTCGCCTCCTCACTGCCATTTCGCCGAGGACACCCATGGCATACTTGAGCACCTTCGCCTCCCTCCGCAGGTAGTCCCACTGGCATAGGCCGCCGCGCCGATGACCAGTCACCTGCAGGTCCTCCGACACCTCTTTCATGTCCAGCGTGAAGTGCATTCGAAGTCCAACCATGGCCGCCCCCATCTCCTCCAGCATGAGGCTCACATTCTTCTCTCGCGGTCCTCCAGGAAGCCGATGACCATCCACTGGTACTTGACCTCTCCGAATCAGTCTCCCAATTCCTGGCAGGTCCATCCCGCCACCCCCATTGATTTGGTCCTGCATTCCCGGACCAACCTGATTCTGAAGACCATGACCAGTCGCTCCCACTATCAGCTTCATGAGAACCGCCATGAGAACCGCCCCATTGCGACACCGTCAGCCCAGTACACCTGCCGGGTGTCATGCCTCTCATCTCCTCGAACCCACTGCCAAGATCCATCCGATGCGCCTCGCTGCGAGGCACTCATTGAAGAGCTCGGAGAAGACCAGTTGTCATACTTGGGCTCATAGTTCTCCTGACCGCGCTGCCACGGATCATCGCGCAGCCACGGGTCATCTTCTTGGCTGTGGTTCGAACTGTCACCATCAGGTCGTGAGTCCTCTCTCTCTGTCCCACCGCTTGCTGTCCGCCAGGATCTCGGGGTCCCCGCTTCAGCTGGCTCTCTCCTCGTCGGTGGGCTCGTCATCCGCAGGCTGCGATGTAATCCACGACGATGACGATGTAGGAACACCGGCAGCGGCAGCTCCTCCGTCGAGGGTGAGGAGCTCTCCTCCGGCGTCACGGCGCCCAGGGCAGCATCAGCCTCCATGGCTCAAGCCTAGCCTAGCTACGGCCACCTACAGCCCCTTATCGGGGCTCCGCTACCACTGAAAAAGCACGACGGCCCTCACCTATTTCCAGCCGCCCTGAGCCGTGACAGGCTATCGAACAGACAGTTACAAGTTGGGCAGCTGGAAATTAGGAATCTGTGGGAAACCGTTCAGTGAACTGACAAGAGAGTTTTGGTTACATATTCTTTTGACTGGGGCCAAAATGCTGGCAAAACGGCAAAATTAGACGACAGTCTGCATGCATCGGATCCGCAACATCTTATCCGCTCAAAAAGATTGGTTTTGCAGGGAGTTATCAGCATGCCTAGTTGGTAGTTCTTGGATCCCCAAATTTCAAAGTTTCTGCACCGAAACGGTCCGAACCTGCAAAGCCACCGTGGGGATCGGCGGCAAATTTTCATTTTCCTCTGGATCCAGCTGGCTCCACCAAGGCCTGGCACCAAACTTACGACGAATTTGGCTCAAACTATCCGACTTGGAAAACAACTGTTGTTCGTCACAATGTCCCTAGCTTGTAATACGTTGTATCAACGCGTGTGGATCACGCATCTTGTTTGTCGCGTTATCCGCAAGTGTGTGCACCAAGCATCATGGACACCGCCAATCATCCCGCTTCCCAGCAACACGCCACGTTTACGCACACATGCTTTTCGTTTCCCAATGCCGGGGTGCCACGCAAACACACTTTCCACAGAGGCCGCACAAATCCATATGGCTCAGCAACGTCGCAGACGCAAATTCGCCACACGGTGCACCACTGACTAGATACAACAAAGTTGCCAGAAGTTTCCCGCACTACATTGTTGTGAGTTGTGAAGCCACAGCTCTCAGAACTTGCTTCCCATACGACTTCTGTGCCCCTTCTGGGGCCACAGTTCCAAACTGCCTCCCGCATTCCCAGCACATCTGCACTACAAAGTTGCCACTTCTGAGCCACACCGCCAGTTCTACAAGCTGCCAGAGTTTCCAGAAGCTGTTTCCTATACTACACTTGCACTGCAAGATTGCGAATTCTGAGGGCAGCTCCCGGCTCCCCAGAAGCCGCTTCCCACACTGTAGTTGCACTACGAACTTCCCAGTTATGAGGCCACGGTCGGCCACCGTTGCAGACTTTCGGGCTACTTCCACCTTCATTTTCAAAGACGACCGTTGAGTACTTTGGCAACCTCCAGCTTGATTTTCAACGATAGTTGCACACTTGGGCCACCTCCACCTTGATTTTCGACGAGCACCGCCACCTCAATTGTCGATGACAGTTACACACAACGTTCTGATCTGCGACGTAAGTTACTTACTTTGGCAACTCAACATGCACGATCTCCGCAAAGGGTTCAGCGACGTCACCAAGCATTCCGGCTTCACCTCACGTTTGAGCGCTCGACACGCACGATCCCCACAATCGGTATTTCACCTTGCGCTTAACCATCCGACACGCACGACCCCCGCAGAGAGGGTTCATCGGGGTTTCACCTCACGTGTGAGCATCCAGCACGCACAATCTCCGCAAAGGGCCGAGGGCTCATCCAGCACACGGGAAGTCGCACTTCGCCTCAACTTTGAGCATCCGACACGCACGATTCCTGCAGAGGGTCACGTTTCGCAAGGCCTGTCTGGCTAGGCCACCGGCAAAGAAAGAATAGGCGCTGTGTATAAAGAGCCAAGTCTAGCGACAGTGCACCGCCAAGGCCGCTAAGGCCAAGCCCATCAGCAACATCCAGCAACACAAAGCAATCTACTGTTTGCACATCTACATTGGCAACAGCAAATGTACAAGTCTCAAGTGTGGTACTTGCACATCTAGAATCTAGAACACCAACTGTAATACAAGCAGATCTAAAGCAGGGAGGCAAGTGTACTAATGCAACCCTTTCTATGGAAGAACCTTTTCGCAACGCTCCCAGGAAAAGCAAATAGGAGCTCATTTCGAGTCATTCGTTTCCTTGAAGGACAGCTACTGATAATCTTTCAGTCAAAACGAGCCGACTGGGCAGCTCGAAGTCCAGCAAGACTTCATGCCAAGGATCGCAAATCGGCAGCAAGGGATCAAGAACGGCATCTCGGTCAGTCAAGAACGTCTATCAGTGTCAATAGTGTCTGCAACATCGGAGCAAAAAGGGATAGAGCGGGATAGCATATCGGGAAAGGCCTTGCTGGATAATATGCGGCTTCATCATTGTCATTCATTGTTCAAACTGTTTCGTGGGGACTCAGGAGAGATGTTGTTCGGCTACAGCAATAATGATTCTGAAACTTGATGAAATCTGAAAGCAAATCAAGCGGATGACCTATCTGCTGGAATTCCTGTTCACCCCACAAGACCTGGCTAACCCCGCATCGGCTCCCTCTTTTGACCAAGTGGCTTGGATCTCCGACCAGGGGAAGCCCAAAGCATCCATTGAGGATAGGATCCTGTGACATCATCTATATAATGAATCATATGAGAGACGCAAATGGATTTGTGCAGCTCAATCAACAAGAGCACACAATCTCGTGTGTTTGTCCGCTGTCCATTGCAACTCGATGTACAAACTTCACAACAAGCCTCTTCCCCCAGCACTATTAAAGTCTTGCTCAATTGCGGTGGGCGTCGCATTTCGCTGTGCACGGTGTGTCACAATCAGTCAGAAGAGACTGTTAGATGAACTTGCTCAGAGTCTGCACTTCTTCAGCGATGGGTCATGGGACATGTGTGCCTCGTGGGTGCAGTTGGGCAACCGGAAGTTGTCCGGCGCAAGCAAAACCTGCAATCAGGACTGACTGACATTGAAGCATGAATATAGCGACATGCATATAGACGCGGTGCATGCTACAAACATCGTACGAGTAGCAGCAATTCTCTTGAACGCATTAATTGCTTGCATTGCCATGGAGTCAGAAGGAATCTAAACGGTCCAATGTTCAAAGCATCCAAAAACAGTCATTCTGCATCGCATTAAAGAAGCCCATGTCGAGAATGATGCTACCCGATTTGCTGTTTTCAATTTATGTAGGAGGTCGAGCAGTCCGCCCATCAGATGTGCTGAGACGTCATGTTCAGTACGCCCTTTTCCAACCATGCTGTGAACGGTGACTTCAACTGTTTACACCGCTGCCAAGAGGTAGCCGATGCAGCTGGAACGCCAACATCCTTCTTACCCTACCAAAAACCTGCTACCACCACAAGTGAACATTTCACAGGCGTCTTATCCAAAAAGAGATAGCCTGTAAGGTTCACCCCGCCCCCAAAACTACCCAACGCTAAAAGTCACCCGACCTTGGAAATGGGGCAAAGGATTTGGTACTCCAGTGGCGCAGTGATGTGCACCTCACAGATGATCGTCTTGCATCGCCCAAGTTGACAATAGCGATGGCCTCCGACCCTAGTAGTAAGGCCAGGAGCCCCTAGTAGCGTCCTTGCTCCTAGTAGCGATGCCAGGAGCCCCTAGTAGCTTCTTGTTGCTAATAGTGATGGTCTCCACCCTAATAGCGGTGGCCTCCGACCCTAATAGTGATGGCCTCCAACCTTGTAGCGATGGCCTCCGACCCTAGTGGCGGTGGCCTCATTCTGAGAAAGAGAATCTTGATGCCGAAAGTCTTGACTTCCAAGTGGAAAAACAATCATTGACCACCGCATGGCTAGTGGCTTGTTCCCTTATCGTTCTTAGCTTCATTCATATCTAGAAGGAATTGACGTTCAACAAAACATGTCATGTGCCTTGATTTAACTTTATATCCTTTTTGAATGGTGAACACACTACTCAAGCAGTGAATGTCCAGGCCGCAAGGGCGCTGCAAGGGTCAAGACTCAGGCCTACCGGGGCCCCCAGGCACCTTTCCACCCCATGGCAGAGGAAATCGAATCTGCAAGGCCATGAACATTGGCACCTGCCAAGTGGTATTTGCATAAACCCTAAGGAATCAATACAACTTATCGCACAATCCATCAACATCCTTTCACAGCCCCCTATATATATTGTATCATATACATGGTTACATGTTTGTTTTGCTTCCATCTTTGCTTTGGATGTGTGTCTCATGTCATCGTGTTCAAACTCCTTCGGCAAAGGACTCTTCTTCCGCCATGTGGGTTCTTACGCAAATGTACACCTGAAGGCAAACATTACTGGTGGACATGGAAAGTACACAAGGAGCACCGGTGGCAGAAAATAAGGTCCCTGGGAGGTGTCTACAATCTAGCTGTTGAAACTTAGAATAGCTGCACTTGAAGGACCCAAACAAATCATTGAGAAACTTTATGGAAATGAATACGTGACATACCTGCTCATCTCCATGACTTTCCGAGCAAGTCTTTGACTGTCCCTTCACCTCTGAAAAAAATTATCCTGACCTCACGACTCTGGGTCCTCGATCGGTGGGTTTGCTCTTGAGAGGAGCTGGGAATGAAGAGTGGCCTTGTGCTGTCTGAATGTAGCCCAATACATTAGGACTTGTTTTCACTCGAGCTTCAAGGGTACCCTGCGGTGCAAAAACTCTAGGGACGTCAAGACATGAAAATTCAAACTCCGCTCCTGCTCTGGTGATGGATGGTGCAGCAATTTAAGCATCTGCGCTTACGAACCTTGTTCTTGGAGTTCTTCATTCCAGAACAGTTGGGAGTCGTATGGAAACATTCACCTGTCGCGCTGAACCAAAGGAACTCCGTATTCGGCTTTGGAGGTTCCAAATTCAAACTTCGGTTCACGACAGCATTGGAAGCGCTTGCGACTTCCGGGCCTCGCTCAGATTCGCTCTCAGAATCGCTTTCCTTCTCTTTTCGGTGCTTCTTCTTCTGCTTTTCAGTGGGCTTCGTGCACCAAACAAACATGTACTCCATGAACCTCATGGTCATGTAAAAGAGCAACATCATCATGAACATGTAGAGGTCGCCATAGTCATAGGTGGCGTGGTGCTCTGTGGGCTGATCGCTCTGGGCAGCCACTGAGTACATCATCATTGAGGCCAGCAGCAACCGTGGAAAAGGTGCAAAACCCAAAGTCATCCATGAAGTGACTCCACGGCCATTCAGCTTCACCTCATCCTTGATCTGCTTGTCACTCTTGAACAAATCCTCTTCCTGTAGTTCAGACAAAGTCGGGAGTCTCCTGAGGAGGATTCGGTGGTCACCGGAGTTCTCCACTTCCACATAGCCGGTGCTCAAAAACATCATCATTCGAAGTGACAGCATGGGCTTGGTCAAACTGTCTGCCAACATGGATCCCGTCGGAGCCAGGATCAGGTAGCGCAAACGACCGCTCACTCTTGCCTCCTTGATCGCCAAGATGTAGAGGCGTTGAAGGCGATCCTGTGGAACTCCTTTGGCACCTGTTGCCAGCTCAAACAGATCTCGACAATCTGTGACCGAGTCGACCGGAAAGATCGAAGATCCACCTTCCTGGTACTTGGTCAGTGTGGCCAAGGTGGGTGCAGGTTCATCCAGCCAAAGCTCAGTCAATCTTGTTAACACCATCGATGAAGCTTCTAGACCGTTCACTGCTGACAAGGTTTCAGCATGGCTGGTGGAGTATGAAACCCGCTTAGATTTCCCTCCGTGGGCAAACAAAATATGACCAAAACAACAAAGCCTTTTGGCACACTCTGAGCTGCATGTGATCTCATCTTGCCGGAGCATGTCATCATTCAGTTCCGGCATGAGCAGCACCATGATGCCCTCCTGGGCGTAACTCTTGCCCTTGGTGGCGGATGAAGCGTCGTGGAAGCAGCAAAGTCGCAGCTTGATGCCAGGCCGAAAGAAGTGGTAGTGAAGGCCAAGGTCAAGCTTATCTGGAGAGCAAAACTTCTTCACGACTTGGTTCGCCAGGCGAAGGTGGCGCACCTGAGCATTTGGTACTGAAGACTGAAGTACCCCAGTGTCAGCGACCAGGTCAAGTCGCGTTGAACATAGCCACATCAAACCTCCGATGACGGAGCGAAGCTGCGTGATCTCCTCTGGCGTCAGCTTTCGATCATCAGATCCAGAAGGTTCAGGTGCCGGCTTCAGTCGAGATGCGAAGTCACTTTGATCCACTTTCAGACCTGAAGAGGTGCGGCTATATCTGCAGCCGCAGTGCGAAAATGGAAGGCTTTCTTTGGTGATCTTGCCAAATTCCTTGCACATGGCCTTGTAGAGACCGTCAAGGAAGTAGGGAGAGCCAGCAACTGCCAGATCGTCCACATGAGTAGTGAGAGCTGCTTGCAGTGCAGGCTTCTTGGCTGGATCCTTCCAAAAATAAAAGCTGTCGTCAAGATGCGAGGCGACACCTTTCTGCTTCTTCAAGAACTCTCCCAAACTCAGCTGCCACGCAACAGGTGCATCGTTCAGGCCGTACACTGGCTTCAAACACCAAAGACCATAGCGTGGAATCTCCCAAGGTTCAAGGTGGAAAGAGGGGTCCACCTTTGCCAAGTGTCTCCAGCTGTTGTAGGGAGGAATGACCACAACAGATCGGATAGGTGTCTTGATGCCTTGCTTCAACAACAACTCTCGGATGCGGTCAAAGGTTAGGCCCTTCAAGAAAGCACCACTTACGTCCCAGGACTCAGGAAGGCAGTTCATCACTGCTGCCGTTGACAACAGAATCCTCTGGCTCAATCTGGAGGCCGTGGTGGAACGAGTGGATAGTTCTTGCTTCTGAGGGTCAAAGCAGCCCCTGGCGCACATCCGGCTCTTCAAGATCTTCTTTCCTTGCTTGTACTTCCAGCATCGCACCCAAATGCCATCGATCACCACGGTGTCGGCCAGGATGTCTTCCAAAAGCACCTTCTCAAATGCTTTCTCCTGGGCGAACTGTGCCAGTTCCTTAGCATCTGCTTCTTCGACCAATGGCCAGAGATCTGCCAGCTCTTCTTCCTTGATATTCAACTCATCCGTCAACGAAAGATAGCTGCCTCCGTGGGCCAGATCCAAATGAACATGCCGAAGGCGGCTTCCAGGTTGATGGACCAGGTATGAGGCGTGTCGTTGACGAACTTGATCAGCTTTGCAGGAGAAATGAGCATTCACTTCTTCCATTGTCAGGCCATTCATCCATCTTGGAATCTCCATGGTGGATGCCCAGAAGTCTTGTAGTCGAAGTCGATTCATCTTCTTACGGTCAAGCATCCAATGGAGAGTGTGCAGTGTCTGGTAGGTGTCATAACTGGGAAAAGTCTCATAGATGCGTGGCTTCTTGTCTGGCACTAATGCTGGTGATCTCACTTCAGGTTCCATTCGCTTGGAGGGAACTGATGGCAAAGTGGATTCAACTTCCATCTCCTCTGGCGGTGTGTCATCTTGGATGGCAGGAGGCTGTGCACTGCTTGTCGATGTTGGTTGACTCACAGGCGGAGGCTCTTGTGTCACAATCGGGTAGTAGAGGAAGTACAGCGCGCACATTGAGTCCCAATGGACATGGTATTCCTTCTTCAGTCGCATGTGCCTGTCATCCTCTTTCTGAACTTTGACGTAGTCAGTGGTGTTCTTCAGCCAAATCAAAATAGTTCCTCTGGTTCCAGGCGGTGGCTGAAGGGTGTGTAGAGCCTGTCCATAAAGTAGGCCATGCACTGGATGATGAAGCCAGTGAGACCATTTTGAGAAAGAATCAATGATCTTCTGTTGCTCTTCTCGAGGTTGTGCTGGAGTCAATCGCATGGTGTGGCCATGACTTTCAAGGATCATCTTGTAGCCGAGGAAGTACTGCTTGTACTGTTGGCTTTCTTCAACCATCTTCATCACTTGATAGATCTCTTCGTGGTTGGTGTCCATGTTGAAGTAGATGCCTTGAAATGGCCGGACAAATCGCAGTGGCATCAGATATGGTCTTCCTTGGTACTTGACGACGGCGGTGCCTTCATCTTCATTCACTTCCAACAAAGTAGCTGGTCCTCGCCAGTTGCCATCTCGATGGATCTCGAGCTGAGATGTGCCAGCGGTGAGTTCTGCAGTGTCCAATTTCTGAGGCCGGGAACGTGTAGCCCTTGCGATCCTATCTTCTGCAATGGACTGTTGAATGGCAGCCATGGCGATGGATCGCAATCTCAAAGCTGACTCAAAGATGGACACGTCTCGGTCCATTGAGCCATTCACTGCAGTCAAAGTCTCAGCCTCAAACTCAAACATCGCTCGAGGAAGCACACCAAACACGGCCATTGCTGGAGTGTATCCTCCATAGGTCAAGCAGAGGTTGTGGGACATGGCCGCTTCCATTGCAACATCGTTGTCTTCACAAAGAAGGCCTTGTCGATCCATCTCTGCTTTCATCTTCTGCATGGTCAGTTTGACCAAACTGGTGTGTCTTTCGATGAGGCCAGTTCCGGTGTGCTGAGCTGATGCGAGACCGCTGGTTGTGCCTTTTGGATTTCTTGTGATGCCAAGTCGTTCAAACTCGATGCCCGACTGCGTTGTCATGATGGCAGTCTCTTGATCTCCAGTGAGGACTCGCATGGGGCCAAAGAAACGAATCCAGTGTGTGATCATGCCCTGCATGATGTCCTGGGCGCTCTTGGACTGGATCATGAAGGCCACCTTATAGCGAGTTGCGACATCAACCATGATCAAGAAAGTCTTTCCCCGCAGGAAGAACAAGTCGAGTTCAACTTCATCTCCAAAACAAGCTGCCAGACTCACCTTGGTTCTTGGTCGTGAAGGAAGTCGGGAGTACTTGCGGCATATGCTGCATGCTGCAACTGCTTGTGATGCCATCTCAATGACTTCTGGTGGCATTCCGGCTCGCATGAGAAGACTTGCAAAATCTCGAGCTGTCGCATGCCACAACTTCTCATGTAGACCAAGTAGAAGGCGTCGAGCAGTGGCAGGTTCTTCCTTCACGGCCTCTGGCAGTTTCTGGAGAACTCGTTTCAGACTGTAGAGAGGCTTCATAGTGCGAATCTGAGGCATGTGTGGATCGATGCCCTCATATGGTGCTGATGGCATCTCCGACTCTCCTCCAGCCGGATCAGCCTGTTCTTGTGGATCATGAGGTTCTGGTGCAGTAGCGCTTGCTGAGGGCATAGGCGTGCCGGGCGCAGGTGTCCCCGGCATTGGAGTCATCGGCACTGACATCTTTGGAGCTGGTGTCACAGGAGCAGGAGTGGAAGGTGCCTTGCTCTTCTGAGGTGGATCAGCGGTGCCGAAAAAGCTGATCATCCAATTCTCTTCGATGATCTCCTCACGTTGCTGCATCGGTGAAAGTTCTCGGAGATCCTCGAGAGGATGTAGTCGCCACTTTCGGTACTCACCTCGAAAGCACAATCTCAAGGGCGCGGCCTCGGCCGAAAGCTCCGGCTCTGGAAACGCTTTGCTGAATGGGTGAAGAGCCACGTGGATTCCGAGCACGTAGAGGAAGCTTTTCAAGCAGGATCTGCTGTTCGACAGCAGGATGGGATCTCGAATCCAATGATGGAATTCAGTTCCATTGGCTTCTTCAAACACGTTCATGCTCATCTCCACAATCACGCAGAGTAGATGCTTGATGAGCACCGTCTCTTCATTTGCCAGCTTGTAGTTGACTGGCACGGTCAGCTGAACGGTGGACAGCCCTTTGTGACCATGAGCAGCTCGTTGGAAATCATTCCAAGGCGTGGAAACTGGCTTTTCCTTCTCCTTGGGGATTCTTCCATAGCGGCATTCACCAGGCATGAAGGTGTGTTCCATGTCCGCAGTGGCTGCTCTTCCAAACTTGCACCGTTCACACTTGTAGTAGGTGTGCTGGGTCATCCAAGCATCGTGGTGTCGTGCTCGAAGAAGGCCTTTTGGTTGAAGGTGTCTCAGGAAGTCTTGAAGTAGAGCTTGGCAGAATCGCACAGGATATACCGCAGCCATAGCAGTGCGGTTCACGCCCATATATTGGCCTTGAAGAGAGGCATGTGGAGTGCCTTGGTGGCCATTGCATCTCCTGAGAGACATCTTCAGCTTGAAGCCATACGCTTCCAGTCCAGTGGCTTTCAGAACCGGAATCCTCTTCTCATCAACTGCACCAAATGCACATTGGTCAGTGCGCCGAGGTCGTTGCCACTGTGGAAAGTCCTTGTTGCGCACCATCAAGCTTTCAGTCCACATGGATGAACTCCATGGTTGCTCCATCAGGTAGGACTTCTTCTGCTGAACCTGGTAACCGAAAGACTCTTGGATGAAGGTCAAGGTCGGCCGTTCAGATTCACGATCCCTGAGAAGGTCAGTGCGATTTCTTCGTGAAGATGAAACGCTCCAGAACTTGCATCTGGGAGTGGCAATCAAGATCTCGGGCTCAAAGGTGTAGAGGGCGTCACGAAGCATAGCCTGGTGTCATGGATTTCCCAAATCCCAGCCGTAGCGGTAGTCAACCGGGAAGCCAATCACAAGGGATGCCAGGCAGCAAGTGAGGCTCAATCGACCTGAGCCAGAGCACCATTCCCAAACATGCCACTTTGTCTTTCGCTTCTTTGCTGCTGCAAACCAGGTTGGAAATGAAGAAGGAGTGACCATTCGTCTGTTCGTCCTTGTGTAGAACTCTTCTGGCATTGCCTTGTAGTCCTTGATGAGCTTCTTCCGTTCTTCATCATTCAATCCTTCTGGAAGTTGATCACCTTGATATAGCGGAAGATCTTGGAGGTGGTACATGAGGTTGTCTTCCAGTGGTTCCGGTGGAGGATCAACTTCATCTGGCAATGCATCATTCTGGAAGGTCACTGTCTTGGATCTTGGCTTCTTGCATGTCTCCTCAGCCTCTGTCTCCTCAGGTGTTGCAGAGCATGAAGTCATTGTGGAGTGGTTCTTGGATGCATCAACGGTTGAAGAACATGAGGTATGCCTGTCGTGGTCCTTGCTTGCTTCAACGGTCGTGGAGCATGAGGTCAGTCTGCTGTGGTTCCTGTCTGCTTCAGCGGTTGTGGAGCATGAGGTCGATCTGTCTTGGTCCTTGTCTGCTTTGGTTGAGGTTGCCACGAGGGTGGAAACGTAGTCAGCCACACTCTCGCGGGTACTCCGCTGCTGCTCTGGGATGGTGGTGCCTGTAGCCTGTTGCCAGAAAGTGTATGCATGGTCAGGCCAGTGTCGATGGGATTCTTCTGACAGATGCCGAAGAAAATGGCATGTCTGCTGACTGGTGTTGCCATCTGGGATGCTGGTGTCCTCATCCAACGGAAGGAGGTAGTGACCAGAATCGGTCAGCAGAACTCGAAACATGTACATCTTGGGCTTGTCCTTGCAGCGTGAATCCCAGGTCACCAACAGTCCATCTTGATTCTCAAACCAGCAGGAATGTAGTGATGCCTTCATTGCACACAAAGCTGGATTTCCAACCAAAGCAGGACACAAAGATCCCTCATTGCCAATCACATCGGCGGTGTAGACAGCGTCCATGCCTTTGAAGGGAAGCTTCAACTCAATCCGACCGAGGGCCTTGTCGGGACAGCCGCTGATGCCAGTGATGGTCGCTGTTGAGTCCATCCACTGAAGTTGATCATCTCGAAGTTCAGGATAGCACGAGGTCAGGAGATCTCTGAGCGTCTCTGAGCCGATCAGGCCAGCTGCCGCACCGGGGTCGATCAACAACCCTCGTCTGGTCTTGCCTCGTACGGCATGATAGCATGCATGGTTCTCCTGCATGGTGGTGTTGTTGACGTAGGTGGCAAAGGACAATGTCTTGGCAGAAGCAGAATACGAGGGCAAAGGAGGCACTTCTTGAGCGGCGTCGCTGGACTGCTGTTCAGAACCTGTCTCTTCTGCGGACTGAGGTCGACGCCAGGGCAAGATCTCCTTGTGGTCAGGAGGAGTCACCTTCAACTGCTCTGTGGTGGTAGTCCGTGTAGGCGAAGAGAAGTCGAACTGAAGACCCTTGCCGGGCTGTTGCCTGTAGTAGACATGGTCCTCATAGTACTTGCCCTTGCCGTCACGGAAGCTCTTGCCTTTCTTGCCTTTGCCATAGCCCTTGCCTTTGCCTTTTCCTTTAGGTCTCCATGGACCTTTCTTGCTCTTTGACTTGCCTTTGCCTTTTCTCTCACCATAGGGCGTGCTGCCCGTCTTCACAGGACACTGAGCGGCCATGTGCCACTTGGATCCGCACACATGGCATCCTCCGTAGTTCCCCTTGCCGTAGTAGGAGTCCTCAGTGGGCTGGTCTGTCGAGGATGCTGGTGGTTGATCATCCAGATCACCGATGTAGTGCTCTTCTGGTGGAGTGTGCCATTCTGAAGATGGAGTACGACCTGTAGGTGTCCAAGATTCATGGTCCATCTGGTACTCCTCATACTCAGCGTCATCATAGTAGTTCCGCCAGTCATCGGTGTGCCAATCATCAGCATACCAGGTAGACCAGTCATCTGCTTGCCAGGAGTCATGCCACTCTTCTCCATAGAAGGTGTTCGGCTTGTCGAAGTCATAGTCCTGGCTGGAGTTCTCCATATAGAGGTCGTTGGAGAGCTGTGTGCCTTCACCTCGTTGGCTCAGACGCAAAGCAAGTCTCTTGGCCTCTTGAAACCTGGAAAGGTCACCATGGATCTGGAGTTTCACATCTTCAATGAACTTGTTGGGCAATCCAGATCCTCTGAAGAAAGGGTAGGTCTTGGCAACCTGGTTCACTTCAAGGCCAGCTTTGGTCTGAGCTTCCTCATAGAGAAGCTCCCATTCTGAGGCATACTCCTGGAGGCTCAACTTGCCTCGGCGGAACTCGAAGAAGGCGTTGAGGGCAGAGGTTGTGAGTTCCTGTTCACTCAGGCCGAATGCTTCTCGCAACTGGAAGGCCAGGGCTTGCACGCCAGAAGGTATTGCATGTTGGAGAATTGTCTGTCCTGTAGGGTCCATGGGGTCGAGGACCTGGTCCACTGACAACCGAACAAGAGCTTCGTCTCCAACATCGTAGTTGCCGTCTGGTCGAATCAGCCTCAAGTTCAAGGCCAATTTGGCCGCTTGGCCTTGAAGTCGGCCTGCAACCAATGGTCCAACAGATTCGTCCGGGCCGTCATAGATCCGGTACCACAACTTCAGCTTCTGTAGATAGCTGGACAGCGGGTAGTCCGGAAGGTTGGGAGCCCAACCAGGTGGCGTGTCTTTCCGGAACTCTGTCAAAGGGATGCCTCCGACGGACGTGGACATCGTCGCATTGGCCATCGCGATGTAGGTCGAGCAAAGGGCCCAAAGGAAGGCGACGTCAGTCACCTTTGCACTCTTGACGTCCAAGGTCGCTGCCAGGTGGTAGGAGCGCGGGTTCTCAAAGTCCCGAATCGTGTGGTGGAAGGTGATCAAAGGGTGCTCCAACAAATCCACCTGGTAGCTGTCGAATTCAGTGAAACAGCTGGTGGCCTGCTCAGGACCACAGGTAGTGCCACGACTTACCTCGACTGAAGCCGAGAGCGTAGCCAGCAGGAGGAGGGGCCAGGATGAAATCGTGGTCGAGAAAGCCTGAGGTCCAAGTCAGGCGCTTTCCAAAGAAAGCGGACAGCCTATGGCGGCGAAGGCGCCTGGATCGTAACCCGAAGGCTCCGATGCCAAACTTGTTTTCACTCGAGCTTCAAGGGTACCCTGCGGTGCAAAAACTCTAGGGACGTCAAGACATGAAAATTCAAACTTTAGGAGTAAAGACAGCGGAAGCAAAGTATCCAGGCATATTGAACAAGCACAGTTTCCACATGAGACTTGCTGGGCACCTCAGCGCCAGCCACACCGGTGTAGCGGATGGTTACCTCAAACAAACGACACTACACATCGTTTCAGTTGTGGACCCTATCTAATCCTCGTAATGTTCATAAACTTTAAGTTGAAAGTGCCTTGTTTCAACGGCATTGGACATCACACACATATTAGACGCCGTCGCACGCATCCAAACGTGCGGGACCGTGCCGGACAGTGCCGGACAGTGCCGGTGGTGCGGTTTGCCGATCACTAAGACCCGCTGCTGGCATTGGAGTGATGTCAAAGCTCTTGGTGGTCATGCCCCAGCCAGCATCCCCTTCCCGCTGCTTCGTCACCACAAAGAAGTAATTCCTGGCACATGCTCTAAAGAGCTAGAGTGATTTACAGTGTCAAGAGGCCTCAGAAAGTCTTGCAGTGCAGAAGAAATGAGACTTCAAACACTTAACATCCTCACACGGTCTTAGCCATCGCTCCTTTCTGGTGTGAGCGGCGGTGTACTGCACAGGAGCTTAATCGTCAGTGGCATGTCCCGTGGAAGCACTCCCTGAGAGCCAGGCAAAGAAATACACTTTCAGACATGCTCAGAAGCTGAGGAAAGAGAGCTGCTCGCAGTAGGGAAACAAAGCCTTTCTGCTGAGATTCCCATGCAGCAGCATACAAGTCAATGAACGCATGATCGATTCTAAGGGTCCCACATTGTCGGCGGCCATCAGAATGGCACCGCTCAAGTAGTTCCCATTGAAGAGCGTCCATCGTTCCCGGCAAGACACCAGGTTGTTCTGCGGGCCCAACCGGGGTATGGCACGACCAAAAAGGAACCTATCAAACATCTACCTGGAAGCGTTGGAAAGGCTATAGAACGGAGGGATGAATATTTTCTGCGCTCGCAAAGCCAGCCCCGTTTCTCGTGTTCAACGTCTCCAAGGGATAAGTGCAGACCTTCAGGCGCTCTCGCTCTCCCGGCGCAAAGCAGCTCAGTAGGAATTTGTAGCCTCAGGCTTTACACGAGCTAAGGCGCTAAGGATAACAATGCGAGTGATCACTGTCGTATCAACCCCAATAGTCTGTGCTGATGCGGCCAACGTTAGACAGTACTCAGGGAGCTCGGAGCATCAATCCAGCCAACCCCATAATTTGGATATATTTGGCTGGTTGTGTATGGTTGTGGAAGGAAACTCACACCAAGTGTACACATACATACTAGGACAAACAACATCTTGTCCATACTTCGAATGACAAGTGGCCAACTGGAAGATACTGTGCTCATCTAATTATATATATATATTCCTAGGAATAGTGAAGGAGAGTTGAACTCAGACTCGGTAAGTCTACGTAACCTGGAACTGACTACACAAAGCTGTTGGGAGTCATTCTGTAACGAAGCCGGCCTTGGGGCTTCAGCCGTTTTCACTGGGCACTATCCAACAAGTCCATGTTTGATGTTGCACTCGTCTTGAGCTCAGGCCTGATGGAGCATACACATCCACACGATTTGGGTACCTGTCGTGGATATCAAGCTGCCCACAAGAACAACCAAATGAAACGGTTGTTGCAAAGCAAAGACACCGGCCTACTGGTTCCAATATCTTTTCCTTTTTGGGTGAGTCCTTCCATGTCCTTTGTTTTTCAGGGCTGAACATCGCAGGCTGTCCAAATGCAAGCCAGCTGAAGTTTCTCGAGAGGTCACTCAGACTCCTCCCCCAGGTCGTAGAGGATCACCTGGCCATTCGCTGGAAGCGATGACATACCGCCCGCAGTGTCGGTGAATAAAGATGTCGAAGGAATTGGTGCGCTCTTCAGCCCGATCGCACCAACGGCAAGGAAAACGCAAGTTTGCAAAGGGAAGGATGCCAAGCCCCGTGAGCTTTCTAGATACGACCACCTTGCAACACCTTGGGCCATGGGCCATGTCGAACTTGCTCTGTCAAGGCGAAGGGAGCACAATGTACCAGGAGCCCCTAGTAGCGTCCTTGCTCCTAGTAGCGATGCCCGGAGCCCCTAGTAGCTTCTTGCTCCTAGTAGTAAGGCCGGGAGCCCCTAGCAGCGTCCTTATTTACATAAATGGAACTATCAGACTAAGTATATCACAAATCCGACCGGTGGACTATCTCACTTTCACAACTTGCCTCCAAGGCCACCCACGGCCACCCGTCACCACCCATGGCCACCGACATCCCAGAGCCAGCCTCCAATGTGATGACCACTTCGGGTGGGGCGTGTGCTGTGGTCGCGGTGAAGTTGACCTGTGCGGTTTCATCGATCTAACCAAGGCTGATGCCTCAACGTCATTTCACCTGACAGTGGCGGTGACATGTGGTGACATCTTGAGAAGATTGTGGCTGGCACAAAGAACTTCGGAATCTCTGGAGTAAACTCCCATCTTAAAAGTTTAGTCCATTCCAGGCCTTGCTGAGCAATTCAAAGTCATCTAGGGAGCCTTTCTGCTCAGAGACCTGGTGTCAAAAGGTCAAAGTCGTTCTCTCAACTTGCTGGTGAGCATCAAGCACATTAAAGTTTAATATAATCGTTAACCTGAGAAAGATCCAGGTAAAAGGGATTCAGAAGAGAAAAGAAGAGCAGTTGTAAAAAGCCAGTGCATCTTTTTGCATTAATTGGCCAAGCTCAAGAAGCCTTTGAATTGGGCAATGTCGACTCTGCCGTTGGAAGTAATCCAGCTCGACTGGAGAACTCCAGCAGCCATGCCGCACCTACGAAACCTGCAAGCACCAAAAGCAGGACGATGCAGAACCTGCAGAAGCACCCACAGCAGCTCTGCTCCTGAGCCTCTTCAACCTCATCATCCTCCACATCCTGAAAGAGCCTTCTGGAAGGTTTGGAGCTCGTCACACCATCCTTCACATCCTTTCGTCCACTGAGTTTCTCCAAGGTCACCACCATGGCTGGAATCAGCTCATCCCATTCATTGCTGATTGCAAGGCGCAGCAGTTTACTCGAATCCTTCTTACAGGATGCCGCGCACCGAGACTGGGAGTCTTTGTCCGGAAAGTGAAAGCTCTTCACTGTGGCACGTGCAAGGCTTCGATGCTCAGCCTCAAAGAGGTAGGCGAAGTGCGTATCCGAACTGCCCACCTGGCCGGAAATAAAAACGGTTGAAAGTTGAAAAAGGGTCGAATGTCAAGAGCCTCCAAAAAAACTGGTATTTCTCTTAGAATGGTTCGCAACTAATTAACATTAATAAACTATTATTACTATTAATTGTATAATTTGTATAGTATGATTGCACTGTTCCAGTGGGGAGAAATTGAGCCATAGACCCATAGACGCCTGGCTGACAACCATAAGGCCCTTGACCAAAGACAATGCAGCTGCTGCTGGATCGTTGCTGTCGATGCTTAGCGCTGCCTCCAGCGCAGAAGTGACAATCTTCTCCTTGACATCAGCCTCTGTACGCTCCAATAGGGTGTTCACCTTGAGCTCCAGATTGGAGAGCTGTCCAATGGTTCTGGTCTCCACTGGTCTGAACATCTGCGATCCCAGAATCCAAGCCACCCGGATCCAACCCAGAATCCCACAGATCTGGGACAGTAAGTCCCAGGGGATCTGTGGGTATCTCATCACCCACTCCAAGAGGCCTGGATGCTGCCTCAAGACTTGGTAGTCCAAATCTACGTAGAAAGGCAGACGACCCATGAACTGCAGGATTGAGTAAATTCCTGCCAGAACTACCCCATGGACGCCCATGGTCAAAATGCCCGAAAGAACGCCCTGACGGATATAAAGAGCCATGATTGGCCAGGCAAACCATGGTGCAACAGGCACAGCAAAGTGTCGCAAAAGGACACATCCCGCCACACGTGAACGTTGCACTTGTAAGGCAAAGTCCCTCGCCTTCGCCTCCAGTGGTTTGCTGAAAACAGGGCCGTACTTGCTTCTGTACCGTGGGAGCTCCAAAGCAAGCTTTGAGAGGATGAAGCAGCGTCCGGACTCCGCGACCTTGTGAACATCCTTTTGCCATTCTTCTAAGACCAGTTCCCCATTCATGTCTTCCAACTCCAGCCGCTTCCTGTCTAAACATTGCTGCAAGCGGCGTAGGAAAGCATCACCGAGGTGAAAATCTCTGATGATCATGTCACGCTGCTCTTGGATCAACTGCTCCGACATGTTCATGGCCAAGGAGAGGTTGACAGCGGGCAAGCCAGAAGCCAAGTCCTGCGCATTCTGTCCAAAGCTCTCACAGAGCTGTGCCACATGGGAGTCCTCAAAGGCTTCTTTTGCTAAGGAAATGCTGAAGTGGTCCTTTTGCACCAGGTCCACATACATCCTCAGCTGTGCCGCCACACTGGGAGCTTGCAGTGGTCTGGCCGTCTGCAACTGTGTGAGCAGTATGTATCGCAAGTCTTTTGTGGCTGAGACGTACTCTAGCAGCAACTGGTTGTCTGAAACCTGATCCAACTTGGACCACTGCCTTGCATCATGCGTGGCAGTGGGCACCTCATGGATGAGGTGCTTGAAGGAATCTTTGATTCTTTCGCGAGCTTTGTCTTGAATGGTCAGAAAAGAATCCAACTGATGTCGACTGGCCTCGGCAGAGGCTGCAAAGTTGATGGGCTGCTGCAAGACCCAGACGATCGGCAGGTTCTCTGGAAGTAGCAGGTCACTTCGCATGCCTTCAGAACGCAGGCCCTCGCGTAGGATTCGGGCCACCTGCTGCTGCTCTTCAAAGAATACGAAGAACTGCTGGTTCAGGACCTTGAGATTGTTTAGAAGTACTACAGAGGAAAAGAGAAGGGCGAGGCTAAAAATCTTTGGCCCATAGGCACTTCGCGCATCCTCAGAGGAGAATAGCCCCTCAGTGTCCATCCAAACCACTGTGCCCCCGTGATTTGGCAGGGCTTCAGCACAGATCTCAATTCCTCTGGTGAAGGTTTCTTGTCCATGGCCAATCCCAAAGCTCTGGGCATAAGGCGCTTGCCGCTGCATGAGACGATTCAGCAACAGAGACTTGCCCCCACGGTAGACGCCCAAGGCTGGGATCAGGAACAGCGGTGAGCGCTGGGACTCCAAATATCGGAGACCTGCATCATTCAATTGGAGCTGAGCCGCATCAGGAGCCTCTTCATTCACCACCTCCAGCAACCGAACGGGACACTGGCTACAAGCACCAACGCCGGCACTTTCTTCGTCATGATCTGCTACAGGAGGTTCTGGCTCTGTTTTTCCTGCGAAACTCGCTGCAACATGTTCTGGCTCCGGTGCTGCGCAAACATACCAAGCTAGGACAAGGAGCCAACCCAGACTCCCATGCAGCCACATGGCACAAAATGCGGCACTGGACAAAGGCGAGCTTTTCTGAGCTCAAGAAACGGCCGAAGCAAGTCCGAAGTGTCTCTGTCTCGCAATTATTGGCACCAAGGACTCGTAAGCCATGTGAGGACACTATGTAAGTCCTTGGGTTGGACGATGAAATAGCACAAATAATTGAAAAACAACTTTTCGACTAGTGACTAGTAGGTTGGAGACCATCGGTTCTAGGTTGGAGGCCATCGCATTGGTTTCACCTTCTCCAGCACTCTCCCACGCCTGAACTTGTGCCAGCTTGTAGTCATCGGTGATTTCCACCACCCACAGGTCGTTAGGCACCCGCAACTGGGCACGTCTGGTCTTCGCCACCCCGAACTTTGTCAGGTCAAAGGAGTTAAACAAATCTCCTCTCAGATCTGTCACCCTTGTTGGGAAAGGGACTACTCTAGACTCTAGACAACTGCTCACTACAAGGTAAGTCAAACACACATCAAATTATAAATTATCAGGGTTGACCCTATTCACAAAATGGAATGACAAGATTCCTGCCCAATGACTCAATGACCTTCTTTACACTCGAATGAGAGGCCATGAATTGAGCACCCCGGCTGCATGTCGCCTAGGAGTGAATGCCTCAAAGAGAATTCTGTATTCCCGCTCAGTGGGCATCTTCTGCAGCCTCAGAATTCACAGGTCGGATCTAGAAGAGCCACGAATTTACATGAGCCACACTACGCTAGGTGCGTAGGTAGTGACCTAGTCTTTCCACTGCATTGAATCACCAAGCATCCCCGCGTGCCTGGTATTCTCTCACTACAATAGAGTGCGTTTTTGAGGCCCAAAGCGGAGCAAGCTTGTAACATTGATTGCCACACCGCATCTAAAGATCAAAATTGACATCAATCTTTAGGGTTTCTTCCTCTTCAGTCCGACAAACGCATCCTCTCTCGGTACCGCCAGACCTGCAACGCCAAGCCCACAATTGAGGCTCGAACCCAGGTAGAACAAGTTGAATCTTGGGAGCACGTGGCTACAAGCGTCTTTTGGGAGAGACAAACAAATGTGTGTGTGTGTGCACTGTGCACGTTTGCTGGAAATATTGCTGTATTGATTCATGATGGTGTCTGCAAGCAGCCTCTTTTGCTAGATGTTTGAAATCTACTCGTCATCTTTCTCTCTTGGTTAAAGGAACTGATTATCCTTGCCAATTTAAGAAGGACTCATGATACAAAGATGTGACAAAATGTGTATATGTAAGTTAAGTACAGTGTACAAGGCATACAACTGGTTTCTTGCTCACTCCTCAATGTCTCCAAGGCGCCATTCCGCCGGTGCTCTCTTCGAAGTCCAAATTGAAAGGCAAAGATCGCATACGGAGACCTGCGGCTTTTAAGCGTCCAAAGGCACGATGAGGAAGTCGGGTTTTTGTGTGTGTGTGTGTTGCCTATTGTAGATGCCATGATCCTTTAGTTTGTCGCTTAGGGGGAACTGTTGCGCATGCGCTTGTTTTCTTTTCAAACCACCATAGTCTCTGCTCCCAAAATCTATGCCAGCAACACCTTCCCCATTTTGCACAGTCGCGTCCTGCACGGAAGAGGCATAAGGAATGCTCTAACACTCAGCAAACCCCAGTCTCCCATTGCTTCATACAGCAAGAACAAACAGTAGTGAGGGGCGCCATTCAAGGGTTCTCTTTCCTTCTTTCTGCGCACTAGTAGTCACAGAGCTAGCGCTGCCGAGTCATTAAAGGTTTTTACAGTTGTCAGCATGGCGTAGGTTGAACCAGACGGTCACCAATGCCACTCTATGCACCTCAACATCTGCAATCTAGAGGGATAAGTACCTCTTTGTGCCGTATTCGGTGACACAAGAGGGGAACACGCGCTCTGTGCGGATTTTGATGTTTTAGGTGTGCAAGCGGGTGGTGCTTTTTAGCCTGCCCTCTTCCATCTAACAGATTCAACTGCGCCAGGCTGGTAAGAGCAACTTAAGACTTCCCCTCCCCACACCCAACTTTCCCATGGCCAATCCCCGTCAAATATCTTCAGCTATGGCTTGGTCCGATGCCTCTCCTCTACAATAAACACTCACTCCAAGCAGTTCATGTCACTCGCCGGAACATCGGCCGCGGAAGAACGAGCTTGTAAACTGCTCAGGACATGTGGACGTCCACACGGGCTTGACCAGCCAGCTTGCTGGGCAGTCGTGATGAAAAAGGGGCTGCAAGGCCACGCTTTCATGCAATTTTTACTGTTGCAAATGGCTGCCCCTACTTGCATCCATCAGAAATGCCTGGCCCTACTCTGTGAGCCAAACATGATCTCACAAGGCGCATTGTCTCGCTGTCATCCACTTGCACTAGGTGGGTTGGCCTCAAGCGCCTCGGCTGGTCTGATAGCAACATGTTGGGCCAACGAGGGGTTTGCCCCGCCGGCAACATGTATCCGATCAGTTGACGGGTATTCGGGGTTGGGGTGCGGGGGTGGGGTGGGGCGGGGTCAGCTTCGTCCGTGTTACTACCCGTCCACATCGACCTTGACGTTTGTTTGTGGACGGCAGCCTTTCGTTCGCTCGACTACTCGCTTAATTCGACCTTGGCGTTGCTGTTCTTGGCTTACAGGACATGACGGGCTCGACGTTCGAGGTTTGTTTGTGGTTGACGTTGGTCGAATGGGTCTTCTTGGCCGTAGAATGGGTCTTCTTGGCCGTAGAATGGGTCTTCTTGGCCGTTGCGATGCAAAGCTGCAACGACAGCACGTTAAAGGCCTTGCAGCTTTGTGGTTCAGCCAACATCCAGGGTTGGACTCATTGCTCGAGGCTGTCAGAATACATAGAGACTTGTCCGCCAGCTCAAATGTACAATGAGCTCATATGGCTCAGTTGGGAACAAGACTGACGTCTGCCGGGTGGAAAATGTGCCTTGCCAAGCATACCACGGAGCAGGCGAAACCCGTGGACCGGACCGAACGGCCTTCAAAAGGCATTCAACTTATCGTCTTGGAACTCATGAGTTCCAAGACGATAAGTTGAGTGTCCTGAAACCCACGAAACCCTGTAAAACGCAGGGTTTTTGCAGCCTCGGTATGTTGCGGTCGGGGCAACCCCCCCCCCGTTTACCCCCCAACATGTTGTATTTGCTACAGAGTCCAGCTCCATGGTGCGCAACCCTCCAGGCCAGCGGTGTGACTAGGGCGTTTCTGACCCACAACGGGCTCGCTCCGAGGGCTTGGAAAGGATCGCTTCAGAGGCAACCTTTCTACATTGATCTCCAGTGTCGTTTCGAGATGGGTGGAACTCAAACGACATGGGAGCAAGGTCAAATTCCAAGTCCAGCACCTGATTTCTGGTGTTCAGCAGGAATCCTTCCTCAAACATCAGCCCTGCAAAACACCTGGATACTATGTCCAAAGACTGACAACCGCATACCATCTGCACAGTGGATCGAAGATGTGGCATCTCCGAAAAGAAACGGAAGCCATCAATCCACAGCGGTGAAAGCACACTAGCACGAGGTTTGCCTACACTACAAACATGTCACAGCCTAGGCTCAAAAATACTGTCCCTCATCAAATCACGCAGTATGTGACCTTAAACACTAGAAAAGCGCACATCTCGCGCCTTCAAGTTGTGGACAATCTGATATGTTGCAAAAGAGGCTGTGGCATCAAAGATAAAGTATGTCGAAATAACCTTTTGGATCATCCATTCTTTGTCAATGTGTCTGAGGTGTCTTGGAGAATCCGCATCAGCATCTTCTAGCACTGTATGGTCTACAAATCCGCCCGCACCGAAGGTGCTGAGGCGTTTTATAGGGCACGCGTGATTCCTAAGTATCGCCAGTATACTGTAGCTTTAGCTAGGGGGGAGGGCATTTTTGCTCTAGAATCCTGTGTTTTTTCACGTTTTTGGAACCGGCTTAAAGTGCTTTCGTGCTAATGTTGGGTATCTTGAAGGCTTTAGGGATGCAAGAAATGCAAGTTTCTGCTTTGCATCATCTGCATCATCTGAATCATCTGAGCGGCACACTATCTAATGGACATGTCTGCGAGATAGGGACTTGAACGTCCGGGTACGTGGGTGGTCAGGAGCAGAGATAAGCAGGTCAGGTCCAGGAACGGTAACATTATCTCCCGAGCATAGCTCCCATATGGTCGAACATAACTCCAGAAGTCCCTATCTTAAGTACGCTTCCTCGAGATAGGTACTTGAACGTCGTAAACATGGTCTAACGAAGGCTCCCAAGGGACTGGAATAGCGTGAAGATATTGTCTAACCGAGCGCTCGAAGGCACTATCGAAAGGACGTGTCTGCGAGATAGGGACTTGAACGTCGTA